ATTACGAGTAAACTTTGGAAACCCTATCATTCATTAGATTGCATTACGCGTTAAAGACTCCACACGCCGGTTAATGTGGTATCCGAGTGTCGGCATTTACTTTTATGGCTAAAGCTAATCACATCTAACGAAATGTAAGTACCCTACTCAGTTAAATAACTCTAAAAGATATTTAAAACAGGCTTAACATATCACACGTAATCTATTACGATATGAATGAATAAATGTGTATGATAATATTATCGAACTTTATTTGACCTACGTGATAGGTAACATAATACTAGTCTGCGTGAAGGAAAATTCTGTAGTAATCAAATAGGTACTACATCATGTATGGCAGCCTAACATCATGGTTCCCAACCTGGAGCCCTAGATGATGTTAAAGTGTGTTTGTAAGTAAGTAAGTTTGTAAGTGACTAGTTACCATAAGGGCTCTGCTGAATTTGGTGATAGCTGGAATTTATTTTGTATGTTTGGCTACAGGCTCTATTTCGTAGCTAGCTTCGAGGCAATGATTCAATATCCTTACAGCATTTGAATGTGAATATCTAGATGCTGACTAAGAGCTTTGATACTAGCCAGTCATTCTTCAGTGGCGCAATATTCATAACCAGAGAACTGAATTATGATTAAACAGTCGTAGAAGGCGACGACCCTTTTTGTAGAGTTGTTTTGTGGGTTGTGGTTGTGAGTGCGAATCGGAACGTCTTGTGGTTTCCATAGGCACAGTTTCATGTAAAATATCAGAAATTGCTAGAAGAACCATAGAACCTAATATGGAGAGCCCTACATTTTGTAGGCCCCTGCTATCTTTGACCATTTACAATTATTATCCAGAAAAATCTTTGTCTTGACGTAATTAGATATTTTCTAGTCTCTAGGTCTAAAAACGCATTTTAAGTAAATTATAATTCTATCAGAACTAAAAGTTATTCAAATGAATGTATGTGAATAAAGAAAGTTGGAAATACACATGATCAATATCAAATTGGCTATTTAATTTCGCACTTTATATGGTAGATGACTACTCTCACAGTGGGAGGCCTGATAATCTATTATCACTTATGAATATGGTTTCCCAATAACCGATCCTAATCACTATTCTGAAGAGAAGGGGTAAATTAACATTGTGACTGTGACTAGACACGTGCAAATAAGCCGCGTAGGTGCGGCGCGCGCGCATACTTCGAGCTTTACGACCCGCACACATGGCACAGACCACAGCACATCAAACTATTGGTATCTTATACGGTTGTAATAAAGGCGAGTTTGCAATAAAAAATTATAGTCTGATGGTGCTGTAGACTGTACTTACATACGCATGTGCTCTCGATCTAATTCTCCGTTGTGCAAGCCCAATCAATGTCACGATAAAATCGTGGACACCATTAATCACCCTTCGTGTCAATAACTCAACTTAATGTGCTCTGCTTAAAATAAACACGCCCTACTTGTGCTCGTAGTCAGGATGAAAGGATCTGAAGGAAGATTAACTTACAAGGACTTTCATTTTATTTGTTTCAAATTATGTTAGAAACGGTACGAGACCCACGTATTTTTTATACTGTGAAAGAACTCCCAAGAAACAAAAATCCAGCAGCAAATCGTGGCTACTTGTGTAAGATGTATTACCATCATAATTGAAGCGTTGTGTTACAAAGTACTGTAAGTGCACGTGCACTGCATCTTCTGAGTGATTTTCCGTATTGTTTCTAGTTTCTTCTCACGCACTCGTTATCTTTACAAATATTACCTGAGAACCTAATATTCATCATCATCATCATTTCAGCCATAGGACGTCCACTGCTGAACATAGGCCTCCCCCAATGTTTTCCATGTTGATCGATTGGTAGCGGCCTACGTCCAGCGCTTCCCTGCTACCTGTACGATGTCTAATATTCACTTTTTATTAATATTGCAAAATACAGCACATGTATCATTTGCCCAAAGGGAAATGTACTCGTAGATCGATATCATTTGCTATGCGACGAATAAGGCTACGCTTATGTATGTAAGGTATTTTGTAATTTGTGGATTATTTCTCGTTAGTTGTCGTGTATTATTTAACTGGTACTGAAATGCGGGCGGAATGCTTATATGGTCTGCGTTAAAACAGCTTCGCTTCCTTGAGAGAAATTGCTCTACTATTATCGGTTATAATGGCTACATCATGCCACTGTTGTTTCAATGACCTGAAAATGAAGAAATCTAAAAGGATTTGGTGTGCTTTAAAAAGAAAAGAAAATACTGTATGGAATAAGTTTTAAAATCTACACTGTCTTCATGGAAAAGAGTTTGCCCAATGTGTCACTTAGGAATGTGACTGCCATACACCATCTACATAGGTTCCCTAATCATATGCACAAGTGAGCAACGGCTGTTCGTCAAATGGAAGATTACAAAACTCACTTCAACGTGTTAAATTGTTATTTGCGTAACTCAAAGGGTCACAGAAGCCGTGTCGTTGACGTTTGTGACTATGAATAACCAAATTTAACGGAGATTCTGCGCCTGCGCCGAGACCAATCAGCCCGTTAGCCTGAACGGAGCGATCTGGTCCACTCAGCAAAATCTACATAAAACTAGGAGGCTGTTACGGTTGTTACGTAACAGACGAAAGTGAAATCAGTGAGATAATGTCGCATCAACACGCGATACAACCCACAAACAAACATTGACGCGACAACGGCTTCTGTTTGATACGATGACTGTGCTTTTTCAAAATTGCAAAAATTACTCGTAATGTACACGTAATATAATTAACATTATACGTCGACGTTTTTATGAATGACGGACGTAATGAAATTAAATGACATTACGACTGCTCTTTTATAGCGGTAATAATTAAAGTACGACATTACAAATTATTAAAATTTCATTCATGTGCATTTGTGCAATGCACACCGGATTCAAGAAGAACATCTTTACATTACTTTATTGAGATTCTGCTTAATTATTACTGCTTGCTTACGTTTACTTAATTAACCTAATTCGAGTCAATTTACACAGTATCCACCCTGAAGTGCAATAAAGATTCAAGTTTCATGAAATCCACGTCGAGATAGTGCGGTTTTCGTCATTCGACCTTCTTATCACCGCGCTGTTAACTCTTATTTAGTATGTTTAAGTATCAATTTGGTGGTCGGTGCTTTTGAAATTAGTTTCATTTAGAATTAGCCCAACTTCTCGTCACGGACCAGAAACGATAATATTACTATAGAGTCGCAATCCAACGGTCAAGTGGCAAACGTTAATACGCAAGTTTCCATTTCACGAATGGTTGGTTCTGATGGAGAAAGCCTGGAATGTCTAGTGAATCTATTCATAATTATTTGCAGGCCAGTCTAGATATTTAGTTGCGCAACGTTTAGGCAACGGGAATAGTATGAACGGTCTGCAGTAATCGAAATTGCGCACTCTATTGTTAAGCTGTCGATGACACTGCGCAGATACATAGATAAATTGGTTAGTTAGTTACATTTATTTATGTATCTCTTGACGCAGCTTTTACTTTAGTAACTAGTTACATAGATAGAGCAATTATCTTTTATATTAAAACACTTTTTCTATAATTTTCACATGATTTATACAATAATTTGCGCAATAACTTGAAACAATGATCTAGAACTTGTAAACTCTCTAGGTCATTATCAAGAAACAATGACATCATGAAATAGCTTGATTATAAATTTTGTAATTTGAATAAAAGTTAAGTGCACATTATGTAAAACACTTAGATTTTGAAAAGTAATTTACCTTCTTATTCATATTTTAGCAAATTTATTTTTCTTCCTTTGCCCTTGTTTTTGAACTGGGTCTACTGGTTGATCTTGTTAATTACTTTCTAGGTATCTGGTGTTTATTGAACCATTAAAAATACCAAGGGCCACACCCCGGTGTCGCAAAGTAACACATAACATGCCCGCCGCATTCTCGATTGACCCCAAAACCTAACAACTTATGACGTGTATCATGAAACGATCTTGTCGTATATCGTACGATACGGTAGAACACTTCACGACACGTTGGACATGTCACTCCGGTGATGTATCAGTAGCACTTAGAAACCTGGTATTAGCATTAAAGTATTTATAAGATCTAGCGTAAAGTAAATAGATTCTAATCTACAGATTATAGATTATGAACATAAAGTTATGGAACTTTTCAATTTCTAGATGTGTAAATAAATGTTAGTGGAGCGGAATACCTATGTTTGAACTTGAGAGAAACAAAATAATTTAATTATTGTTTTGTTAATTTAACTCTATTCGATTCGAGTAGATGTCTGCCATCACAATACAGACATAAACTTCAGGTATGATCTATCTTATTGACACGGAAGGTGAGGCCTGAGGTAGCATGGTAGAGGCCTATTCCATCGGTAGGGACAGCTGGTTCGATAACGAATTAATGACATTATCCGCGGTAGATTAACAATTTCCCACATCACCGTAGCCGCTACTCTGCATCAATTACATTACACAACTGATCTGCGCATGCGCCTCGGTTCATTTTGGTGAAAATTCTCTTACGCAACCCTGCGGCCAACTGGACCCGTTAACTGGACCTGTTATTATAATTGTCGCGATGAACTGTTTCCCGACTGGTATCTCCTTTTGGCATTTGCAATCAAGTTATGTATGTGCGATGTTGACAGTCGGCAACCTACATCGGTGTTGTTGTGATACCGGTGGTTTTCTGGTCAATTTTATCGAACAAAGATGATGATGATCTCAACTTTATGGGACTCAACAGCTACTGAATACTATGTATGACGATTATTTTTGCCCAACGGTGGTGTATGAGAACTCAAGTCAGTTTATCAGTTAGTCTTTTCACGTAGCAGTTCTGTATGCATGATGACTACGAACTATTTCAACCTACGTCCAGATCTTTACCTAAAGCTCAGATAGCCATTTGTCTACATGATTGTATCGTTGTGTCAATACAGTTTCAGTATCATAAATAAGGTAATGTAATCCTCTTATTGTTTGTTCCAGGTTGATGTTCTTAATAGCGCTGTTGTTGGTGGGCACAACGCTGGCTGCTGAGGAGGACGACGTGCCTGACGCGGGCGTTGAAGAGGATGAGGATGACCTGGCCCTGGACCAGGAGGTAAGGACTTCAAAGAACTTTGAAACTGAGGCTATTGAATTTAGTAGAGAAATCTATGACATGTCTATGAAACCGGGAATAGTGAATTTGGTAGAGAAATGGGACTTTAAAGATGATGCTCTCCATGCTTAGGGTTTTTAATTGATTCATCTGTAGATGATGTATTGTGCATCAATATCTTGTCTAGGAACCTTGCTGCTACCTAACTCGAGTAAACTACGCAAGCTCAAGCTAAATAGCTACTTAACTTTTCCGGAGTAAATAAATTAGAAAGATACAAGACCTCGACTTTGGGCGAATGATAAATCAGAAGAACTAGTGGCACAATGGCCAGTTAAACGAATATCCTTCCAAGCAAAAATAATTAAAACATTAATTAATTCCTGATTAGAAAGGTTAGGAAGCCCCGAATTCGCAACGGATTTCTCCAATAATTCACAATCAATGCCGATACTTCCTAGCCAGTTAGTTTTTCATGCAATTTAGACACCCTAACATACAATTAAAGAACAAAACATTGTAATTCACGTGCCTTTGTCCAAATAATGACGTCATATCTGAATAGGAATCGTTCATTATTTTGCTATTGTCGCGGCGGCCATAGCTTTCAGATGGAGCAGTAGATAGCACGTTACTTTCGATTTGAACTAAACTACCTCAGGTGCACTATCTGTATTTATAAACCGATCTAGATGTGAGTGCGCTCTGCTTACTTTGTGTTATGTGAGACGTATTCAAGCAACTCGTGCGATTATTAAGTTTAAGCAACGAATTTCACGCTGGAGCTCTTGGACTTGAGATATCTTACGCTCCATATACATAGAGCTTGTCATAACTTGTCTTATTAAATTGACTGTGATAAGACGGTACAGTTACATCGGTATTTATAATTTAACCACATAATATAAATATTTCATAAAGTATACAAATTCGTAACAAGAAGACTCTATTAGCACAATCAGACTGTACGTACAATGTGCGAAACTAGAGATAATGTGAGCTCTGTGTATGAATACAAGCCCGTAGTAATAAAAAGATAGTAAGAGTATTACGCTTACACTGTGAGAGCTTCCTAGACCCAGATCAGTTAAATTGATCGTAACACTATCATAGCTACAACACGATTCCTGCTGAGCAATATCGAGGTGGTAATAATTATTTGTTATTGAAGTGTATATCTGTCATAGTCAAAGGTCGATATGCAGTCTCTTCGCGGAATGACTGGTCTATACTAGGTTTGACCAAGGCCTTCAGGCAAACCCCGAAGTAAATTCTTATTTCGGCCTTTGACTAAGTCAAACCTAGAAGTGCCTAAACGGTTCAGTCAAACGTCGAAACTAAAATAATCTGTTTCGGGCTTTGCCTAGTCAATCCTAGAAACGACTGACAGACTCGGTCAAAAGTAGACGGCAAATAGAAAACCAGCCATGTGTGAGTCGGATTCGCTCACGAAGGGTTCCGTGCGACTCTTTTGTTGTATGGGAGCCCCCTTAAATATTTATTTTATTTTAATTTTATGATTTATTTTTAAAATGCAACTAAAATTATGTGAATATTTCAAGGGTTCACCTGTTTACGTTTTAATATCAAGTAAAAAACTGCAACAAGTCACGTTTGCTGTATGGGTGCCCCCCTTAAATATTTAAGTATTTTATTGAATTATTTATTTTTTAAGTGAATGATTCATGAGATACGAGCCTGGTGACAGACAACATTTAGCGAAGTCATAATAATAGGCTCTAAACTCTTTACCCTTTATTAAGGTAACAGAACCCTAAAAATTAGTAATTAATCAAGATCGATCTAGAAACACTGACAAGACAACTAACCTCAGTAGGTACTGTATAAGTTTAGTTACTCGTACCTTCACCTAAAGAGATAGCTGCGCGTGCGCGTGAAAACCGATTAACCGACCGTCGTAACGCCTATGCAATAAGTTCGAGATCAGAATTAAGTATAGTTTAGTTTAAAGTCTTAATTGGTTGGTCTTAAAAGGTTTCAAGACTAGTCAAACCCCGATTTCATTAAATTGAGTTTCGACCTTTGCCTGACCGAATTAGTTACTCCTAGGTTTGACTAACATTATTTAGTCAAAGGCCGAAATGTTTGGGCTTTGACTAAGACTTCTAGTCAGACATGAGGATTGACTAGTCAAACCTAGGAGTGCCGGTACTTCGAGGTTTGACTATAACATATCAATCTAAACCCTCAGTCAAATATTAAAAAGAAACACCTGAAAAATAACGGAGCATATTAAAAACGAACGCCGAGGTAGAGCCAGAAAAGTTAAAAAGAAATGACTGAACTGGAACTAAACGTAGATAATTTTCAGTATGGGATGCTCGTATGTAAACAGTTAATACACAAGGTGATTTATAAGTTGTTAGGTTTGTAATAAATAATTGAATAATTAAAAAGCTTCAAGGACAAGGTTCACAGTGGATGCGAACCATTGGAAATTAACAATTATTAGTAGGATTGCGGCAGTGTATGTACGAAATGCCAAGATTTAGATACCTTTCCTATCTTACTTTTTTAACAAAACTAGCGAATGTAATGCATCACGTGCGATTGAACGTTTAGAAATTTCCAATAAAGGCGTTGATGCATGTTCGAAGTTTTACCGGTCCATTACATCAGGGGCGCGAGGAAACCGTCGGGTTTCCCGCAAATTGCTCTGCATGGGTCGTGACGTGACCGAAATCGAGAGCGTTGCAATTCTTCTTGACCAGGTGTCAATGTCCGTAAGCAAGGCCGCTAGCAGTGAAAGTGGAAAGCAGCTCATTATTTTTTATAACCTATCCTCTTTTTTCATTTCTGAACGATTGCTACCGATTCCGCGGTACGCATGACAAATTGACAGTTTACGTTAGCGCGCCAAAACTTTAGGCGCGAAAGTAGAGTTTTCCAAGGTTTCTAGTTTTCATCATTTGTGTTTTTCTCGAATTACTCAGAGTGTGCAACGTGAACAACGTTACTGTAGTCTTGTTCTTTTAATACTTATTTAGGAAACTAGTAGGTATTTTATGAATATATCCGTAAACTTGATGATTTCATGTTTCAAAAGCATATTAGCTCTGTAACGTCGTTAAAATAAAAGCAATGCAACTATCAATTTTTGCACTGCGTTTCCTCACGCGTATGTAAATTACAATCAATTCATAAACAAAATAGTAAAGCAACGTAACGTGGTAGTAGCAACCGCGCACGCAGAGGAACTTGCATCACGTTGAGAAAAACGTAAGCATGCGCGGCCATGATCACAATCATTGACAGAAATTAATTTCGTCATACACATAAATGTGTAGACTTTGGTCAGATTTTTTACAATTAATATGAATTTTCTAAAGATAAGCTTGTATAATGTATTGGGCCCTTATGTTTTAATAGCTACCCACCACCATTGCACTAGGTGCAATCATAAATCTGTGGATCTATAAAGAATCTACGAATGAAACTACTGTTTTTATTCAAATGATGTAGCATCATTGTATCTAGCTAGGTATTAAGAAATAAAATGTAAGTCCTGAAATTAATTTTAAAATAATTAGCTAATCAAGTAATGCAGGAATATTTTCATAAATATCGTAATATCGATTTATGTAATCGAAAGTGTAATTTAATTTGTTTACCAAGCTCCCGTTCACCCGGATCAGCGCACACGACAATTGCTATGATATAATTCCTCAAAATAATTACACACGACACAACGTCGTCCCGCACGAATGGTTGTGTCCGATTTTTTCCGATTGTCTTTTTTCGTTCTTTACATTACAATTTCGTACGCGATGGAAATATTGAAAAGTGTTAATTACGCGCAATTACGTGTGTTGTGTAACAAGTCGGCCCGAGGCGCTGCTGTAATATTGTAATGAACTTGTACCTCTAATAATAAAATTAAAACGAACTCATTGAATGCGTCTTTATGTTCTTAATGATAGAAAGTTATGTTATGAGCACATGTTACGGAGAGTTGCGTTGCAAAAATAATAAAAATCATCATGAACTAAGAGTTGGTAGCGGTGGGGCTTGCGAATCTTCGCGACATAGTTCTACAAAAGTCCGGGGTTCTAATTAAGTGACCATACTATGAAGTTAAAGATAGATAAGATATACATTCCATTAAATCAGGGAATTCAGGCCCCAATAACTTTTTTCCCCTTTACTTTTCTGTGACAACAATGTAACTTGTAAAAACTGAAGGTTCTGTTGGTTCTTTAATAATGAAATGATATCGAAATAACACCAGCAGTAAATGAAAGTGACTGAAACACTAATGCACCGATCGCGATGTTGTCAATACAATAGCTGGTGTTACAAATAATATCAATCGATCAATCGAAATACTATTTAGTAACTTTATTGTAATCGTTTAGATTCTAGATTATAATAGCCTGAAATGGACCAAGCACTTAAGTTTTGGGCAATTGCACGCGCCTTTACTTAGTTTCGAAAGTAAACAATAAGTGTAGTAAATGTAGCCTTAATAAGTATAGGTGTAAAATAAGTACTTTTTTAATATTTTGGTCACCTCGTTCAGCGTGACTGGAAAAGACGTGATGTTTTGCATTAACACAATAAATTCAGATGCTTTTGTATCAAAAATTTTCACGTTGCAACTTTTTTAAAGTTTTATATCGTGAAAAATAGAATTAGATCTTTCCCTTTCTAAGGTTATTTTGCTAAGTGTGCTCAATTCAATGTCCTTAGCATGATTGACCGCCATGACTTTCACGATCAATGCCCATAGAAGTTCAAAACAATAACATTACGAGCATTATACATGCTTATTTGTTTCGTTACAGCTGTGGAATTTCATCATATCAGGAAATTAAAGCAAAAGAAAAAGTCGGAACAGTGACATGCATTATTGAATTCATTACTGAAGCATTTAATGGATGGACATGATTAGATTCATATTGGTATAACGAACATGACGGGTCTACGTCCATAATTTATAATTATCCGCTATATTGCCGAGCTACGCTTGATTGAGCATTAGTACTTTGTTTGTTCTTACATCTTTATTAAGAGTCTCTTCATAGTCAACTTAAAGCTCCCATACCAAATCACTACAAGAAATAACGATAGATACAAGTAATAAAAAGTAAATCATCCAACTCGCATTACTGTGAGATGGCAAAGACCTCACTTGATTACAGTCAACAATTTACTTTCACAGGAAACACGCAACGTGCGACCACGTGCGTACACGGCGAACGCGTACAACACACTGCCGAGCGGCTTCCGGCCCACGGCGTCGCTGGCAGAACTTGCTGGCTACCAGCAGCGGCAGCAACAACAGCAGCAGGAACCACAGGAGTTCGTCGGCCTGGTGGCCCCGCAGCAGCACTTGTACGAAGACCAGAGAGCACCTGCTAGAGCACCCAGCAGAAAGGTAACCACACAATGCCAACCATTATTATACCAACCGAATTGAGAACCTCCTCCCTTTGTTGAAATCGGTTAAAAAATCTGCTACCTACGCTAAGTACTAAGGACTTGTTACCTGCAGCAGCACCTAAAACCACAGCAGTCGGCTAGAAGCCCCTCAGCAACTCTTCATAGAGCACGGAGAGTAATACCAGCTCTATGTATATGTCTCTCAGTGCACACAGAGGCATTAAATTCAAATATTTTATTCAGTACATAGGTCTTTTCCAGGGCACTTATACACGTCCCAAATATAGCTTGCATTACCACGTTGTAGGTAAGTTGGAGTTAGAGCACAACAAGGGACTCCTATACGACTTCAATACGACCATTAGCCCCATAGGCTACAGGTACAAGTATGCCAATATGTGATCGGTAATCATGAAATTATAGCTAGGTCATTTACGCCCAATTAGACAGAGAAAGTAATAATCTAGACCGGGTCTAGACGACACTTTCAGTAGAAAGTAATAAATATTCGTCGTAATTTCCATAGTAGGAAATTACGACGATGTTATATCACACACTCCTACGCAATGCGCGAAAGATCTACAAAGCCTATTAAAATACCTACTACATTATGTCGAACATAATTCGCCATTCTCAGAGACATATTAATACATTACACTGTATTATGTAATGAGAATATAATTTGAAACAGTTAACATTAAGTTTCACTCGTAAAAATGTTTCTTTATCATCTTCGCGTAAGAGTTGTTTACATTGTAAAATGTCTTTGTTTTATTTAATTAAGTAGGCTAATTGACTAATTATTTCCCAGTGTCGTGATCCATTTAACATGGACTTTGTTTCCACCAGCCTCAAGACCACAGGCCGGTTAAGGTTCAGCAGCAACAGCAGCAGGAATTAGAGGATGAGGAGGAGAAAGAGGAGCCCGACCGTCTGTCCACGCTGCTCCAGCAGACCAAGTTCGACTGCGTCAGCAAGCAGAACGGCTACTATGCCGACCCTGAACTGAACTGCGAGGTCTTCCATTACTGCGCGGATAATGTTAAGCACTCCTGGATTTGCCCCGAGGGATTCACCTTCCACCAGGTGAGGATCAAAAGCTTTGATGGTTGTGGTGTTCACTACGCAAAACGTTTTTGTTCCTCAGCCATTTTTTTAACCGAACAAAATAAAGAACGATTAGAACGACCAAAAATAATAATACCACGACGAGTTCCTATTCCCTGAAGTACGAGGAATGTGTCATAAAGATACCTTATTTCATATCGTATCTATCAGCTTACTTGAGAGATGACAAAGTATCGATGCCTTTTGAAATCGAGAGTTTACACGCTTTTTTGCAATAATGAAGCAATCGGCAACAAAGCAGAATCGCGTGAATACAATAATGGCAATTTCTCACATAGCGATTGTATTGGACCGACTCCCGAGTCTCCGACTAATATGATAAATGGCCAAAACAATAAACCTATACTGGCTACCCATTTGTTAGCCTCTTGGAATGTTTAAACAACCTCTTGGAACGATAATTTTCTATTATTTGTTTGCTTAATTGCCTATTATGTTTTCATCCTGTATTTTTACAATAAAAAATGTAAGTATACGCATGTCTTATACGTATGTCTCTGTCTATCCCACCATCATAACTCTGAGCAGAATCAACAAGCAACAAATTTTAACTCTTCCCAGGTCCACCTGATCTGCATGCCGCCCACCCATGACAGCATCTGTCAGAAGTCCGCCAAGTACCACTTTGTGAACGAGTACCTGTACCGGCCGATCAACGAGGAGGAGGTGCAGAGGAAGCCCAACGTGTCCCTCAAGTACTCCGACCGGTACTACCCTGCTGAGGTCTACAGGGACGACAGATACGAGGACGAGGAGGAGGAGGTACTGATTTTAGACTTCAACTAAAGCTTTAACCACACCAACGCGCGACCTATTGACAGTCCGCGCGACCTGTCATTGGCCTATGATTGCGCGATCGCGCTGGCGATGGCAGTCTGCACGCGTTGGTGTTTAAAGCTTATTAAGTTCATCCAAAATAGTCGTTGCAACGCACGTTACTAAAAATACGAGTAAATAGCAAAAAGAGTTGGCTCTTTATCGGGGTACTCTTTCAGAAAGATGCACGTTTGTCAAATAACTCTTTCAAAAAGTGTTATGCACGTTAGTCAAATAAAGAGCAAAGCAGTTAAAAATATTAAAACCGAAACTCGGTACGCAGATAAGTTCCACGGATCCAATGTGATCGGTAGCAGTGTCTTCTGGTCTGGACTAAGTATCTATTCAGAATAAGAAGAGGTAACTGGGGCTGAACAATAGGCCATTAAAAAGCCAAAAATCAATAAGCAAAAGAAAAATGCAGCTTAACTCATAATACGGCATTTGGACCTCGTTTGATGTGTTCTGATCTACCACGTAGCCTTCGGTTTCGGGGCGCCTTGGTCATCATTACATTTGTGCTTTACAGGAGGAGAGGAGACAGGAGCAAGCCGTCCACAGAGCGCCCCCACAGCAGTTGCAGGCGCGACCCTCGCCGCGGCCACAGCAGCAGCAGCCCCAAGTATTCCACTCCGCGGAGGAGGTCAACATCCCTCTAGGCCAGAGGCGTCCCCAGCGCCCCTACGACTTTGACTTCTAGCCAGCTCTTTTCAGCCAGTAGTCTTAAAGTTTCACAACTGCCAGATACATCGGCTAGAGCCGATAAAGTCCTTCATGTTTCAGCATCGGGAAGGGAAATTCACGTTTAGAAATTATTTCAATTGTTGTGCGTTTAAACATCTGCAAGAGGCCAAAAACGCATGTTTTTGACTTTCTTGCTTTTCATGTCAACGGCACAACAATTAATTTCTGAATCCTTACAGCAACCTGTATTTTAAAGCACGAAAATAAAAAGGAGATGTAAATAATTTGCAAACATTTTGGTGCTAGGTGCATAATCTATAAATTATTCAAACCATATCCAGTATTGTACTGCTCAGTCTTGTGTGTAAGTTAACGTTTAGGTTAATAAACTTATTTATACTTAGGTACATTAAACTATTTGAATGTAAAGGTAAGTCACAAATTAGTTTTAAGCTAGTCTTTGTGGTAGTTATTTGTAAAAATAAAGAAAGTGTGAAATCTTCAATGATTTTTTTGAAAATCCCATCCACACGCATCCTTTCCCGCTCATTTCACACACTCCGAATCTTTGGGACCTTCTTTGTTCTTGGGAAAGATTTCTGAACGCAACAATCATACGTCAAAAATGACATTGACATAACTATCAGCTGAGAGATGTTTTAGGTTATGTTTTGTTTACGCAAGTTGATTTAAAATCTGATTTCGTGTATGAAATTTTAATCAGAATCGTGTTATTTGTGGGCAAAATTATTACTGAACATACCCAGAGTAGCTGACAGTGCAGAACATACTGTTAATTCTATAAAAATTGCGAATGATTGCTTTGGATAATTCCGTAAACAAACGAAGATATAATGGACGAAAAACTATTGAAAATGAACGCTACAGAATACAAGAAGTACCACGAGTCGTTCATGACGAATAACCACGGATCGACGGCGACCCACACGTTCCTGTACATATTCTTCACCGTGCAGTGCTCGCTCTTTTGTTCGTTATCAACGAAGCGTCCCCAACCTCTACAATACATACTTGAATACTTTCTTATCGTACTGCCACTCATAATTTCATGTACTACACTATCTGAATACATGTATTTACTAAATTGTATTGTATCTACAATGCTACTTACCAAAATTATGTTAAACTATCCCAAACTACAGATACACAAGACTTTTAACACAAAAAACTACTTTAAAACTAGCAAATTACATTCCATATCTTTGATGAGAGGGTTAACGTATTTGATGACAGTATTTTGTATTCTAGCTGTGGATTTTCAAAGCTTTCCTAGGTACTTGGCCAAGACTGAAAAGTATGGATTTAGTGTTATGGACTCAGGGGTGGGTCTGTTTGTGCTAATGAGTGGACTGGTTCATAAAGACTTGCGCAACCAGAGCTTGCCCTCAATACTCAAAGGCAACATCAAGTTTCTATCCATACTAATTTGTCTCGGAGTGGCCAGATTTATTTCTGTAAAGCAGTTGGACTACCAAGAACATGTTACTGAATATGGAGTACACTGGAATTTCTTTTTCACTGTAGCAATCTGCAAACTTATATCAACTGTACTTTTATACTACTGTAATAATTCAATTCTATGTGGGTTTGTGATTTTGGGCCTCCATGAAAGTATGTTACATTTGGGATTAAAGCAGTGGGTGTTTGGAAATACTCCTCGCACCAATATAATAAATGCTAACAGAGAAGGTATATCATCCAGTCTTGGATATGTATCTTTGTATTTATTTGCAGCATATTTAAAGTCTGAAATAAAAAAGGATACAGTCCAGAAATATAACGTTCAGCTGAAACTTATGTTCTTGAGCATTATTATGAGTCTCTTAGCAGTTACAGCACATTTCTACAGCCCAGCATCACGAACTTTAGCTAATGCTGGCTACTGCTTTTATCTACAAACTGTTCTAGTAGTTATTATGATGATAATGTACTTCCTTGAAGTGCAGTTCCAAAATAAAGACCTACAGTTTCATGTTCCTTTAATCATATCTGCTATAAATAGCAATGGGCTAGTATATTTCTTAGTAGCAAATCTCCTTACAGGTGCTATCAATTTGTTAATGAGAACATTATTTATTTCAGCCTTTAAGTCATTTATAATACAAAATATTTACATGATACTGACAATATTTTTAGCTGCATATTTGAAGGAAAAGGGAATATCTGTGTAAAGAAAAAAAAATGAAAATATTAAAAAAGATAATTTATTTGTATAAACTATTAATTTTTATAACACTACAGTAAATAAACTACTATTATACCACAATCAGCTGTATTTTGTTATACTATTAACACTATGAATAATAAATGGATTTAATACTCTTCAAAAATACTGTACTTACTATACAAAAATAGTAATTTACTGATAAACCAAGACAAAATATTATATGGGTTATTCTTTCTACAACACTTTGGCATGCAATTTTTATAAGTTGTTACCAAAAATAATGTTCTTATACATATTAAGTTACTATCATAGTTTTGTTAAATACACAACATGCACAATTTTCATAAATAATTAGAAATCACGACAACTGAAGCTTCTCTCTCTTATAGTGTAATGAGACTCAGTGAAGAGGAGATTCACAGTTGCCTAATATGCAATACGGGATATACTAACTAATTATACTAATATTTTTAATAATGGATAATAGTTGATTTGGAAACAATATTTTGTAATTCAGCTCATAGTTATCGAATTGTTACCCTGTTTGTTTAAATTATAAAATATTCACCACTATTTTGCTAAAGTATTTTAAACTTCCAAAATTAACAAGTTGATAGTCATGGAATATTCATCTTTACAGACGGCAAGGGCGGAATAGACGCCCGAAAACTATAATAGACACTGCACAAGCATTTCATATTATTATTTTTAAACACACTTTGCTAAAAGCTCTTAATTTTAAAATATTTTCCTGGAATAAGTATTTGTACATTATTATAAAATAATACCTACTCATTAGTAAGTATGTATTTAAATTCCTAACATAAATAAGATTTTAAAACTCTGGAGATTTTAATATTGCTTTTTAATATAAATCAGTCATTAGGGAATGCTAAAAATAGGATCACATTAAGGTGCCCCTAGGGTTTATTTATCTGTAATACTAAATACGGTCCAATAGTGGCAATTTATCAGCATTTGGGGCCTTATGCTTGGGCAATCGACTGAATAACCTACCTGCACAGTAAAGGAGGCAGTACACTGTGAGACATATCAAAACAGCCAAATAGAAGCGTAAATATGGAAACCTTGTTGGAGACCAGAAGACTGTGTACCTCATGTCTTGATTGTTGTTTTCTGCAAAGAGTTTTGAAGAATAGGTTAGGTTAGGTTAGGTAATTTACCTAGATAAGACGATTATATCTGATTCTTTACATAAAATGAGTGAACAAACCTAATATAGCAGCTCCAAAGCCAATATTGACTGTGCCCATTCTGTAAGAACATGTTGGCACATAGATTTCATACAGCTTTTCTTCATCAGTACTTATTTCTAACACTTTCTCATCATAAAGAGGGTATGTTTCTCTGTGTGTCAGGTCTTTGCTCTGTTTCACATACTTGGACTCATGCTCGTGAGCACAAAAATATATGTTGGGGCGTATTCCATCATTCACCTGTAATGAGAAAATACATCTTATTTCTCAGTATCCAAAGAATTTTAGTGAAAATTATTATTTAGAGACACTAGCATTGAATGATGTATAAAATGCAGTAATTGCATTTAGAAATAAAACATCATAGAAATTGATACACAATTACCTTATGCCCAATAATATGCCTTATTGTAATGGGATAGTGGGAGACTACAATTTTGAAGTTGCTTTCGTCTTCTTCCAGAGCTTTTGGTACGGTGTGTGTTATCCCATTGACTTTGTAGAATGATATATTCTTGTATGTGATCACAGACGGCTGGTGAAAGACCTGTTCAAATTCTCTGACCTTGTCTTGCTTGATTGGTTCAGTTTCACCCCCAATGTCATTGTCACCGGGCAGCCATACTTGCTGTAATTAAATTAATTATATTTTTTTATGCTATTACAAGACACTATGGTTTCTTTACTATTCTATGTTTGGAAAGGATAAAACACCTAAGTTTCCAATTCAAAAAATAATTATTTATTCCAGTTATTCAGTCTATTATTTTAATTCTCTATTACTATTTTAATTATAAAATGTATCATACCACTACAGGATAAGTGACTTCAAATATCCCCGACAGTCTCTTGACATAGCTGTGGAACTGAGCCATTGTGGACACGGAGCCTTCGTCCATGAGGTCTCCCAGGTACACCAGCACATCTGGCTTGAACTGGTTCACTGCCACTGCAAATGTTGACTTGAGATATCTGGAAAAATTATAAATTAACGTTATATAAAATATTATGTCATAAGTTGGTACTGGATTAGGTTAATAAAATTAATGCATCCTTTTATCACACCAAACTGTGTTATAAAAACATTTACAAAGAGATTATGGACATTAATGGAACTTATCATAAAAAATTATGATAAGATTATGATTATGAAGAATTGGATTAAAAAGTGGTAGAAATAGCTTAATGTAAACTCACCGGTCGCTATCCCAATTGTAAAGGTAGCTGAGAGGCGGCGAAACAGCAAGGTCCCCCTGAATTTGGGGGTCCGCGATGAACAATATCTTAGTGCATGTCGCGTCATAGCCCATGCACTCCAGCCCCTGCCAATACCGGGGCTGTACGATGTAGATGAACCACTCACAATAAAAAGCGGCACCGACTATTGCCGCAACAAAGTATTTCAGTGTAGTGCTGAAGAGTAAATAGTAATATTTTAAGAATATTTTAAAGGTACTTACAAATTGTGATGAGTGAAGTAAAACTCATCTACTCACACTGTACTTCTACTAAAATAATCTTACCTCCTCCGTAAATACATCGACGGATTTTTATGTTATTAAATTAAATTTTAAAAAATACAAAAAATATGGTGCACTGTCCGTACACATTCCAACCGGATTAACCAAATAAATAACAAACGTTTCATTCTACGTATGCTACGACACACATATTTTGTGTCATAAAAACAATCTTGAAATTGCTCTGTGTTCGTTGGTGTTCGTGGATTCAAATAAATCATGAAATGCGTACATCGGAGTGCATTTTGCTCACATTTATGACATTAGTTTTGGATGCGTTCATAACTATTTTGTTTATGACTTCGTAAATCTGCCAATATTTTGCCATTAAAAGAATTTATAATACATTTCTAAATTAACTAAGAAGGTTATTTTGATGAATTAATTCATCAGATGTCGATGAATAGAATATAGCATCGTTTTTAACAAAGATTGATTTTCATAGAAGTAAATATTTTTAACTTGAACGATACTTTACTGCGGCGATTTGATTTGACAGGTCAGCTTCGAGCCACTTTTTAGCTTTTCAAGTAGCGTATTTTCATTTTATTTTGTGTTATCCTTTCATTTACGCGTCGTAAATTATGTTTGATTAGCCCTAAAAGTAGATAAATTCGTTTATTATAGTTGTTGTAAGTGCACTTACAGTGTTACATAAACTGTAGAGCGCTAATCGTGTCGGCAGACCCGATGTGTATAACTACATAGTACGTCAGTGAACGAATGGTGGCCGTAAGATAATGGATGTGGATGCTCCTAACTTACTGAAAAGGTGCAGCAGCGCACCCCTTATCAATGAGGCAGCCTCTACAGCGGTGACCTCGCCATCCACCAACACTGCGCCCAGGTAACGTGCTGAAGGAGGTAACGACACGCCTGAGGGAGGCATCCGGGTGGTTGTTGCTACGCTGAGTGCCTATTTTTGACAAGTGCTGTGGTGGCTCGTAGGTGCCATGCCTGTGCTTAGTGCTATTTCATGCATTATTCAGTCTGTGCTCTATTATATTACCCCTATTGTCACCTGGTTGCATCTTGTTTTCTAATCTCAGCTTAAAATGTAAATTTATGGTATTGGATCACTGATATTGACTAATAAGTAAGTATTGCCAGGTTTCAGACTGAAAAATAACATGTATTTCTGAAGCAATATGTCATATATGTTGCAGTGTGTCCTTTTTATAGTATATTGGGTCATTTAGAGCATGTTTGCCAATTCTATATGTATGTGAAGATTGTTTGTTTTGGTTTGTAATTTCACTGACAGGATTGGTATGACTTATTTTGACTGGTACTCGATATGAATTTCTTAGAATATCTTCTGATTAAGATTGATGTGTAGAAGCTGACTCAAGTGTCACAAAGTCAAATTAATTATCATTGAAACATTCACATGTACAGTGCACAAGGTAGTTTAAAACTGCATATGTTATGAGGACTTTTTATGATTCGTAGTAATCTTGGAAATAAAGTAGGTACCTATTCTCAACATGCAAGATATCACCTAAATCCATGTTGTTGTAAAAGAAAATGAATTTAAATTATTTTTACATTTTGTCCAGTGCGCTATCATGTATACCGTATTGATTTATGTAGTTTTGAAAATAGTTATTTACTTACAATGTACGGAACTTCAAGTAAGTGACTTTAGTAGTAGAATTGCTATTTTCTTTTGCAAATAATTATTTAACAGTCTCAACTTGTCTCAGCCACATAAGTAACCTCATCCCTGATTTTTGCAGTGTCTGCAACATTGATATTTGATGTATTTATGAGAGACAATAAAATTAGTAGATTTAAAGTTTTTGTTTTTGAGACACAATTAGTAATTTAAAGTATAATTAAAAAAAAAAACAAAAGGTAATGTAGTAGTAGTTATATTATGCATGTTACACCAAAAATTAAGAATTATGTAAGACTTCTCAGTTGCCCAGTGTCAGGTTACACTAACACCTTCATTCTAACCATATTTGCTGTTTCCATAAATAACACATTTGTAGAATAGAATAGAATAAAACATGCATGGTATAAAACATGGTATACAGTTGTTACAGCTAAAATAATTGCATGTTTTGCTTCATCATGCAGCATGCAATATATGTAGCATATAATAATCATATCTATCATGTAATTACATATTGCTAATGCTACAGATGTAATTAATAAACATTCCACGATCCATTACATTTTAAAAATAAAGCAGGCATTCCTAGAATTGTAAAACATGTTACAAAACATGATTCTTTAGCCTGTAATTGAATGTTTTTATTAGATAAAAAAATTGGTATCATTCCCTACTCTGTGTTAATAGGTTTTTATTTAACCTGCACAGTAAACATCACTATCTACAGAGTGTTTAGTATAAACAATAATTTATCAAAACATTTATTAACACATACCAATTGTTATTTCAATATGCATTTACTTGCCTGCTGTTATTATTATGGTTTGTGTTGCCATGTAAATCATAACATTGTGGTTGGATTGGTAATAAAAGTGTGCACTCATCAAGAAGGCTGCAGCCACATATCAAGTGGTCATTATTGCTGATTTGTGTATTGTGGTTATGCAGTCAAAAATATTGCACATTAAAATAATTGATGTGGCTATTTAACTCATAAATATGTTTGTTCAGTGAAACTGTACACAGCTACATTGGTGAGTTTACATTATTCTTTAACTTGTAAGTAATTTCTTAAATATGTCAGGTAAATTAGCTTCCATGTTATTGAGCAACTATTGAAAAAAATCAATCATTACCTCATATCAAGATGTCTGCATGTTACAGGAAGTTCTTAGAAATAAATTGATGAATTAATAGACATGTGCTTAGGATAAGGTTTAATGCCAACATTAATATGTAATATTTTGTGTATATTTAGCCCTGATTAGGGTTGCCAGGAGTCCGGCTTTAGCCGGACATGTTTGGCTTTTTAGGGTCTTGTCCGGCCAAATATTGCCTTGTCCGGCCTGTCCGGCTTTTGTTAGGCTTTTTATTTGGTTGCCGCGCCAGGCGCAAGTCGAGCCCACAGAATCATATGAAGCGGACGCATCAGGATGTTGGTTAGCAACCGTTGATGATAGTACTCACTCATGAGCTGACACTAATTGCACATTGCACATGTCCGGCTTTTAGGGTAAAATCTCCGGCCAAATGAAACACAAAGTCCGGCTTTTGTGATTTTGGACCTGGCAACCCTAGCCCTGATTGAACCCGCATAATACGATTTCGTGGTATATTACTAACATAACATAACAAGCCCAAGGAGAAACCATAATTTGGATTTTGTATGATGTTGATTAATGTAAATGGCGATTGCACATAACATGATTAGTGCAAGTGGGAGGCATTATGCTAAGCTGTGAGGTCATACATTCCACATCCTTTTATGATGTTTTAATACCTCAGTAAAAACAAATTGTTTGTTTGCTTGTTTATGCCTTGAGCAGTTCTAGTGGGTAGATAATATAAATCAATAATCACCAGACTCTATATTTACATAAAAACCTTTTGTCTTTTGAGAATCTTTTGCTAAGTATGTGCTTAATCTTGTTCTCAGTGCATGTGTCACACTTAATCCAAGAGAGAATGTTTCTTATCTGTCCATTCACAATAAAATTTAGTATGATAAAATAATAAATATTTACTGCAGTGCTCACTACAAGATCTATAATACTTACGCTCGTATTCACAAACTTTACTATGAGGTCTCACAGTGCGCGTGGACGCACAGGGTGACACATGAACCAATCACAAAGCTCTATTCAACGCTGTGCGTTCGATTTGCTGCTTCACAAGCGAGTATCGTTTGTGAATACGGGCGTTAGTCTGAATGGTAGGCAGAGGTCAACATTACGAGAAATAAAGTGTTTTATTTGCGTCCCTGTGTCACTGCTGTATGACAAAGTGTCCTATATTTGTGACTGTCGCGTGTCAAAGATTGAACATGAGGCAATTTGTTACAGAAGCGCCCCTTTCTTCAGCATGCTGTCCAACAACAACCTGTCGCGGATGCGGCGGTATAGCGGGAGCAGCTTCAGCCCGCTCTCCGCGCCTGTCAATTCTACTGTAAGAAACCTCCATATTCTTCTTTTAAATAGTCGAAAACTAGCAATATTTTCCAGCAATACGTGGTCAGCAAGCATGGTCGACAATGCAGTAGATTGAGGAATTTTCTCCCATAACATTAGAATTGCCGACTTACTGAATATGTCGTCTCTGCAACATAGTTTTGACTTTTTATTCAATCTGGTTTATTCTCCTTAATGAGATAGACGACAGGAAAATGGACATATTGTCTAGAGCAACTAACAATCGTAATACCAGACGTTCATTTCTAAAATCATATCGTTTTTATGAGCTAACATGAAATGTATTTGTTTCGCCACCCTCTATAATGCGGGCGCCCGGCACCCTCTATAAAGCACACCAAGAGCTAAGTTAGTTTGAAGAAGAGGCTGACAAAGGTGACTGAGTTTCTTCCGCCACTTCTCAGCACCAGCCCATATGTTGTCCCGAAGTGACGGTAGGGCAAGCTATATCTGGGACGTGTATATGTGCCCAGAAAGGGCCTATGTACTGAATAAACTATTTCATTTCATTTATCTTCGCTGTTTGTATAGTTTGAAGTAGTTTGAAGTTTGCACACAATTATTAGCTCTTGGTCTGGAATCTGCATAAAATCTTCTGATATTGTTTTACCTATAAGTAAGCTTATAACAGCGTGTGACGTCCATCCACAAGGTGACCGACAACCTGATAAAGGAAGGCGCTTGATGCAAGCCGCTACCAACCGTGCGATGTGAAAGTCATTAGGGGAAGCATAGGCCTCCCCTAGGCCTTTCACATTGCACAGGACGACCACTGCTGAACCTATGTTCATGAAATGCTGAAATGATGATGATGATGATGAAGCTTATTATCTCCTTCCAGCAAAACTCGTGGGCGCCGCGACTGACGCCGCGCGTGAACCAACTCCGCGCGGAGGAGTGCGCCGACGTGGCCAACACGCGCGAGGTGGCGCACGAGCGCGAGGTGCACTCCGCCATGCAGATGGGGCAGTCCTGCGAGGACCTGACCCTAGTGGCCGGCCTGCAGAACTCGCCCACGAGGCTACACAGGTAACTAAACAAAGACTACTGAGGTACTGACGGGTGTAACTTTCTTGCAAGAAGCGCCACAAAGCAGGAACCCTAATATTTTCATCAAGGTAACCTCACGATCACGATCTCACGCTCGTCGGGGTTTGCAGAAATCGCCCACGAGGCTACACAAGGACAGGTAACTGCTCATTGATTTCAGCTGATGCCAGTCCTCTGCTGGATAAAAGAGCACCACAAATCAGATATGGAACAGAAACAAACGCACTGCTGGACGTAAACTCCTGCCTAATTTCATATCCAGCTACTGGATCTCACGCTCGTGACGGAGCTTCAGAACTCGCATATTAGGGTAACACAGTACACAGATACTGCTGATCATCATTATTCTAGTCACTGATGTACTGTAGCCTCCACAAGCGGGACGAGGAGTGTGATGACGTGGCCAACACGCGCGAGGTGGCGCACGAGCGCGAGGTGCACTCCGCCATGCAGATGGGGCAGTCCTGCGAGGACCTGACCCTCGTGGCCGGCCTGCAGAACTCGCCCACGAGGCTACACAGGTAACTGCTCATTGATTTCAGCTAATGCCAGTCCCCTGCTGGATAAAAGAGCACGACATATCAGATATGGAACAGAAACAAACGCACTGCTGGACGTAAACTCCTGCCTAATTTCATATCCAGCTACTGGAACTCACGCTCCAGTATTATCGACGAGGCTACACAGATACTCTTCATCAATTTATCTTTCATTTCAGTCACAGAAAAGATGGTCCACAGAGCAGGAAAATTGGCAGTGGACGTCATAATACTGGATACAAACAGACAGCAAACAAACAGAATTATGTTTACCTCTTTATAATAAGTAGAGATCAAAAGTCAATACCTAAATAACGCGAAGAGCGTATGTTTATTTCATAAAATTTTAAGTATCGGTTTATGCCCGGGGCCAGTGACTGACATAACTATAAAGTGCGTCACTGGCAAAATTAAATGCCTTGTAATGATTTTGAAGTTACATACTGTATTCTATGCAAACTTTGAACTAGAATAACAATAAGATAATATTATGAAAGTTAGAATTTAAAACAATGTGAAGGTCAGTTAGATGAGAAATTATTTGGTATCGGCGTTATTTGCCTATAGATTTAGAAGATTGTGATGTGAATGATAGCTTTTATTAGAGATTAGATTAGATAGGTATTATATCAATAAGTATTGCTATTTGCTTGTTCAAAAAAAGCAAAGTAATTGTGAAGAAGATTGCATTCTTTGGGAAATTGAGATATGCTTAGGGTTGTTCTATGATGTTTATGAGTTTGATGCCTTATAAACCAATTTAAACTAGGTACACATTATATACTTTGAACTCTTTGTTATCTTTATTGGAAAACACAACAGAGTACATCCTGAATGATTAAGATTTACATTATCCACCATTGATAACATTTCACAAGAAAGTAAACCTTTTACGTGTTTTCATGCTAGTAGTGAGAGGCAGACTATCAGCAGACTTGTCGTGGATTCTAATCGAGTTGTCTCCAGGGATTATTTAACCATCATTGGTTGGATTCAATTGCTGGCCAAGCTGTCAATACCAATGTGGTGGTGGTTAGAGGAAAAATACTTTATTCGTCACCCCAATGATGGATTTGTACTGCGGCACTCTTTGCACCTATTAAGTTACCTAGATACAATATCAGAAAAACTGCAACGGCCATGTGCTAAAACCCACGATTTTCCTTTCAGATTTTCACCAGTCGTGTCCCCGTCGCCCACGCGGAAATACACGACGCGGCGGAGTCTGTCGCCGATCGCGATCCGAGCGTCGAGTTTCAGCCCGGTGGGGCGAGGCGGCGGCGGCTACGCGGGCGGCAAGCGGCGCTTCGACGAGGCCGACTCGCCGCTGTCCAAGCGCATGTGCACAGAGCGCCGCACGCCTTCCACGCCCGGCACGCCAGGAACACCTGACTCCGAGCTTGAGTGCACCTTCCGACCTGTCTCCCCGCGCGCGCCCGCGCCCCGTCACAAATCCCCCGAACCCAGCTAGTGCCCCCCACCCCCGGGGAATCCCCCCCCTCGATAGCCAAAGCATACAAAACTTTATTGTAAATATTTAACCGCGCTCAGTGTACCGAGCGCGGTCTTGTATATAATATCGGTAAGAACGTAGCCATAGTGTGAGAGCGTTGGTTTTATTGTGATCGTTTGCGACAGTTTTGAGTTGACCGCCGAATTTATTTATTGTGAGCTTCCGTAGCGTCCTGACGCGGTGTGAGCGCTTTCATGTTGGGCGTGTAGCAAGCTGAATGTGCAAGCGCTGACATTATTTATCTTCATTACATCAGCGTGTTGTTTTTTGTATGGAGCTTTTGCTCCGAACCGTTAGAATCGATTTTGGGATGCGCTCCTGCACAAACATTGACACTGAATGACTCGGGTCGACAATGTGAGGCTGTTAGCCGGCTAATTTATATAAAATTATTGACATTTCGCAATTAAATTAAAATAAATTGTTGAGCTAAAATCATAATATAATAAACATTGTAAGCGTTGATTTATTTTAATTGAAGGTTATGAAGGAGTTGTTTTGTTTGTGATTGATTTGCATTCATCCATTGTGTTCATTGTGTCACATAGCTTATAAAACCACTATTATATGATACTGATATATCATAATTCGTAGGGTAGGTAGCGATTCAAGTTATGCATAAATCCATTTAAAAATATTTTAAGTATGATGTACCACATTAAAGTGCTCATTGTTGATTTTTTAATCAAATATAGCATCGGTATTTGGAAATTCATTTAAGTTAGTTTCAAGGTGTTTATTGCGTAATTTACCTGTGTTACCAAATTTAACAGTATTTTTACTGCATATAACTTGTTTTTTGTACATTTCTCTGTTGTTATTTGAATTTAATCAAATACTATCCATCAAGTGTGTTGAGAGACGTGGAAAAATTGTACTTTTTCTTTAAATGCTATGAATTTCTGAATCAATACTGGAAATAGTTTATATTGTAATGAAATCCGCAATATCTTGGTGTAATTAATTTTTAATACCTCAACCACACCGTATGAGCTGTTGCAAATTGCATTTTTATGTTAATGTGTAATATTTTGTACTACGTACATAGTTAATGAGTATGGCAAATGTAAGCGAAGTAGACGGGATAGAAACCAATTGGGGTCATTCCTGTAGTATTTAGGCGAGTTTGATCAAAAGTTATCGATTTTTTAGGAATTCTTTTCGTTTTGCTATCCAAAAATCCGAATGCATTTTCGGAAATGTATAACTATAATTGAATAATCTTATTTAGTTCGTCTGGATTTATAGGTAAAAAGCTGGTTCTCAATTTAGATGAACATTATTTTGAAACAAGAACGAAAGACATCAACGTTATTTCTGTGCCTCTAAGGCTTTATTTCCTCCTACGCTGACGTCGGTCGCGTACATCGGTCGAGCGTACGAATAAACACAATGTTCTATGAAGCACCACACTGCAACGCCGTTGTCAGCGGCATATGATTACATAGAACTATGGGTCTAGACAAAGTGCAAATTATAATCGCAAACCAGTCGAAAAGTGGTCGAAAAGCCCCTTTTTTGTATGGAGTTTTGACGGATTCGATTTTCGATTCGATCAAAAAGTGCGTTTTGTCTAGGGGGGCTAGTGTGTAATCGTGCGCGCCGCTGACGTCGGTCACCGATGTCAGCCTAAAAGGAAATCAAGTCTAAGATATTTTTTGATTTTGCTGCCTGGTTGCTACAGAATGACCCTTTGGGCCCGTGATTATCCCACTTGTGTACCTATCGATATGTAAGTAGGTACTTTTGTATCTTTTGTAATGTTCGTCTGGGAGTAATAATGAAACTTCCGGGACTACCATTGTTTTCAAGTGTGATTAAATCACAACATGATCTTATTTGTTTTCTTATTATTTAAAACAACACCTATGTTAATAAGTTCAAGCACCATAATTCTAATAAGCAACTCGACAAGCAATTATTTCGAGTTCAAAGATCTAGCGTTTAACTCTACTGCACTGCAGTGCAAAGAAAATATTTACTCTGAGTGCTTGAGGTATATTTAATTTGTTTTTGTAATTAAAATTAAACGGTAGTAACACTAGCAATATTTTATTGCTGTTTTAACAACTTTCAAATACAGTAGTAAGACGGGTACTTTACCGGTATTACTACTGGTAGTAAGAATAGTAGTAACACCACAGAATAATAATAAGTACTGTAACACGGGCAATAAAGGGTATTTTTGAAACGTCAAACATGACATTAAATGTATGACGGATTGTACAGCGCCCCTAGCGGGAAACGCTCAAAAACTAAAATGAGCGCGTTTGATGTAAACTCGCACTCAGCTCACTGGATTTCTTTCATTTGTATGCTCTGTCACGTCATAAGTCAATGTCATCCCTCCCGTGCCGCTCCCAGACCTCAGGCACTAGTTCCAAAATACTGAACTGTCCTATCGATGACATTGACAGTGGGGCGCCACCGTCAATACCGAATCGCTGGTTCCGATTTGTGCCATCTAGTTGAACGATGGTAGCGCCCCCCTGTCATTGAGTTTGGTGGGACAGTTCAGCGTGGGTCATCTATAGCTGATGTAAAGTTGTAGGATTTAGTGGTACAGTGTAACAACGAATGTGATTCCAGGGTTATAAATCAAAACCGAAATACAAACCAAAATCGTTTATTTACATCAGTTTTACATTGCCTTTGTATAATTAGATGACAAACGATATTAAGAAAAACAGATTTAAAAGTGAAATTAATCTAAAACTTACCATTAATGAACAACATTATAATAACATTCCAATATTTTGTACTCTTTAAAATGTGATAAATTACAAAACATAAGACATTGATGCGAATAATCTCACAATAATTACTATGTAAATTAATTAAAACATTACAAAATCCATTAATAATAGTTATAATTAAAATTAAAAGAGTATTAGCAAAGCTTGCCAAGTACAATACATATTACATGTATATAAAAACGATACACTTTGTTTTATCCGGTTCAAGTTGTCACATTGATTACGTCCAAGGAGAAGTAATTTCATGTCGCGACACACGTGTGCGACTCGCGCGCATACTTTTCGCATTTTATTTATCGCGTCGGCTGCGCAACGTCAAATACCATACATTATTATAAATAAGAAATTTTACTTAATAAGTACCAATTTTTTGCATAGCAGTAACGCTATGCGTTCATTAAAATGCGACAAATATACAAGTTTACAATACCAAATACCTATCGCCTTTAAATCGCTATAGGAAGACAGTAATTCTAATTATTTTTCTATAAAGCGAGGCGGATAAATATCAATATTGGAATGTGGATTAGGGCTACATTTTTGGTTGAGTTCTATTGAAGCGTCGGTGAGGAGGTGACTGAGATTTTGGTTTTAGTTTTTTGTCAAACAAAACTGGATATAAATATTCGATACCTAGTTTCACTGGGTTTTAACTCCATTTCAGAGGTGTCAGCCTCGAGTCAATGGTGGGATCGATGCCGGGCGGCATTCAGGAGACGATGCTCCAAAGCGGCGAAACCGACTCGTCGTCGTTTGCAGAATTTATCAGTCTTTCTTTTGAGAAAAGTTGTAAATAAACTTTGCATAAAAACGCTAATATCGACTTTCAATATTATAACAATCGCGTTAATGCAAACGCCGCATTAAAATGTAAATCGTCAACACTAATTCTTAATTGTTCTAGTTACATTACTAGTTTGTTCTACTTTAGCGGCGGCGGCTCCACGCTCTCGGTTGAGGCGCGGCAATCTATCGATCGTATCCAACGAGCGAAAATTGACTGAAATGTCCTATAATACGTAGGAATAATACTTTACATCGGCAGCGAATGCGCCGGTTATTCACAAACTGAGATTCGATTATACGAATTTTTAGTCAACTTCCATTTGGCGGATCATAATCAAGAGTTTGCCAGAGAGCGCGGCGCTGGCACCGCCCATCTTACATTAGCTCGGCGTCCGAGGGGCGCCTTAGATTAAAATTTGTTAATTAACTAATAAACGCTACTCCCTAGCCCGATTCGAGTGTTCCGGCGAAAGGCGTAAACAAACACACTGGCGCTTACGAAGCTATTTGATTTCGATCACTGGTATCGCTACACACGAAGCAATTGTACAACGGATTGGATGATTGGGACCCACCTGAAAAGTTTTTACAGCGTGATAAGTGTCGGTGAGCCTCAACTGCTGAGCGTGGAGTCTTCGACGAGAGGTACTTTGGCGACTTCGAAGAATATCGTATGCGAGTATTTGTTGCGTACTGTGCTGATGGCCGATTTGGGTTTCTTGTGAAGCGTAGCGTTCTGCGCCATCGCGATGGGCAAGATGTCTTGGAGCGTGTATCCTGGAAAGATACAAGGATTTCATTAAATCGGGTTTCAATAAACTATGCAATTGGTCAACACTAGGTCCACTGAATCGAACACACTTGTTCGACAGTCTCTCAGCGTTGGTATCGCGATTATACTGAGCCAGCACCGCGTCGACGTTGTGCAGGCACTAGTAGCGAGACGACGACGCTCAAAAAACGCCAGTATGGCGGGTCCTAAGAAACTTGCAGCAGGCGCAAGGACCCAATGACGGTGCAGTCCAGTTGTCCCCCATGGGGGAGCCAACATGGTTTCGAAATCCTGTTGGCAACAGGAATGCACCGCAAAATCACGTTGCAATGGACGAAAACCCTTTGTAGTGGGTGCATTACAAACTGCAATGAGCGAATTGGACACACGTAATAGCTGCAACTGGTGCTCTAGGCCTAGGATGCGCGCTGTGATAAGCTTTTATTGCGTTATTTTACTCGATAAGCCCGTACATTTGTCGTTTAAAATCAACGATAAGATTTTATCACGGCGCGCATCCTAGCCCGGCTGGACGTACTGCAGTGGGCGCGCTAGACGAATGAGGGCTATCGTTTTAGCGCTTACCAGTTACCGCCACTGTAGAGTAAGGTCCTGTCACTTGCTAGTAGCGAAGACAGTGGCACCAACTGGTGAGCGCTTAAGTGGTAGGCGGACTATCGCATTTGGACTCATCAAGATGGCGCCACTGTAGAGTAAGGTCCTGTCAATCGCCAGGGGTGCCAACTGTTAAGTATAAAAACGATAGCCTTCGTTACAACTGGCGTAGTTACTACTCCAGATACGCACCTGTGTAGTAGGCGAGCGTGGGCGTCCAGCTGCCGAGCGCCTTCATGCGCAGCGCGAGATACAGCGCGGCGGCCGCCATCTTGCTGTCGGAGTGCGACACCAGCGAGTAGTCTAGCAGGCACTGTTCTAGCACGAAGCGAGCTAGCGTCAGCGTCGGCATCGACACGCGGGCGCACTGCGGATAGAAATTATACGATTAAAGAAAGATGAGGCACCAGCCAGTGTATATACCTGTGGGTCTAGACCAGTGGTTCTTAACCTTTAAGTCACGAGGGACCATTTTACCAAATTTCTGTCTTGTCAGGGACCACTTTTTTTTTCAAAATCCTATGAAAGCGGAGGTCGATTTCTCGCCCACTGTGCGCCGTTTGCGTTGTGTTGACTCGACTCATCACGTCACGTCACTTGTTTATTACGATGTCTTCGTGGACCACTTCGAATGCCTCCAGGGACTACCAGTGGTCCGCGGACCACCGGTTAAGAACCACTGGTCTAGACAAAGTGCACATTATAATCGCAAACCGGTCGAAAAGTGGTCGTAAGGCCTTTTTTTGTATGGATTCGGACTCGATTTTCAATTCGATTAAAAAGTGCATTTTGTCTAGGGGGGCTGGTTTAGACACAGGGCGAATATCGCGCGGCATATTGCATCAAACCCGTAACCACACGGTTACCGTCCTCAGTGCTTCACCTATGAGAAACCGCGCGGTTATCTCGCGTGTCTGATCTAAGCCTAAGAGCTATCAAAGTATACTGTAATGCGCATACCACGCCGAAATTTGAGTGATTGTAAATCAGAATCTAGACTAAACCAATGCCACTTGGACAGCAAAAGAACTGGAAAAGAATGGGGTTTTTTATCCCAGTCAATCTCTTTGTTCATTGTGGCTATTTTCAAACAAGTGTTATGACCATGTCCATTGTCATTCTTTATGAAGACCAATTTCTATCACTCAACTCGCTTTCAACTATCAACAAGATTCGCAATTGGGTTGGTTAGACAAAGTAGGTCTAGGTTGCGGAGACGGACTGATTGTTGTACAGGGTCACAGATTACTTTTTGAGGTCGCCTGACCAATAAAACCAAACTAAATGGGAGGAGATTCATTTAGCCGATTGATAAAACCAAAACACCACTACTATTTACTCACAGAAATAATGACAAAAACAAAGTCTAGATTAATTAACTCATAGGTAGGAATGTTGTATTATTTAGAGTAATCATATTTGAGACATTACATGTTACAATGCTGCTTCAGGACAGCGTAAAGGCAGCGTTATTAGGTCCAAGAATCGTTCTTACTATTTACTATTGTACCGTCATTGGTATATCGATAAACTGATACGCGTCCGCAGCGCAGCAGCCAATCGTGATAACTTCTAACATTTTCAACTAAGAAGCAAATGTAACATATCTTAGTGACTGATAGTAAGACTGAATTGAATACTGTATTCAGAAAGAAACTTCTTCCGCCACTTCACAGCACCATCCGTTAGCTTGTTCCAAAATGGTGCCTACCACGCTACATTGGGACGTGTAAGTGCCCAGTATAGGGCCTACTAAAAGAATTATAATGTCGCACGTTCATAATCAAACCGTCACTATACGAAATTGGGAGAAATTGAGTTAACAACGCCATTTATCAGCGCTCCGTGAAAAGTGCATGCTGTAAAAATCCCACGCTTAAAGCTCAAATAGTTCGGCAGATATCACTAGTGTCGTTATGGAGTTTAATGGGAAAACCGGCATTTGTTGTGAGTAACAGTGACNGTGTCCTCACCCGGGCATACCGCCGTAGGAAGCGGTAGGACAGCGGTACTCCCAGGTCGAAGTCCACGACGCGCAGGATGTTCATCTCCATCTTGATCTGTCTTCCGCCACTTCTCAGCTCTAGCCGATATGTTGTTCCAAAGTCAAGCCTACCACACTATACTGGGACGTGTTTAAGTGCCCAGTAAAGAGCCTACTATAAGAATTATAATGTGTTCTCACCCGGGCATACCGCCGTAGGAAGCGGTAGGACAGCGGCACTCCCAGGTCGAAGTCAATGACGCGCAGGATGTTCATCTCCATCTTGAGAAGCTGGCTTAGTGTGTACGCGCCGTCGCAGATGTACAGGAAGTCGTCTACTAGCGGCGGGATGCGCTCCTGGAAACAGGATGAGGTTCTGATGCAGATCTTGAGATTGACTTCGATTAAAATTCAAATAATTAGTGTTAAATGCATTGAATGTAAATAAAAGTAAAAAAGTATTTATTACTAAAAGATGTCACACTGTACAATTTATTCTGGCGGTCTCAGATGGTTGATTGTATGGTTTTTATGGTCAAGTCTATAACGCTCTAACTCGTGGAACACGCGCTGTCTAAAAATTCTTCCTAGGATATTGAGATTTTTAGTGGGGAAAATTTGGTACAACTTGTAGCTCATTAGTTTGCCGTACGATTATTTCTCTAGCTACGCTGATTTGTCTCTTATTGTAGTCATCAAAAGTTAAGTTTCGTCGTAACTGAACCCATCTCTATATCAACACTTCTGCAGCATTAACAACAGAACAGCGTGATATGCATTTCAAAGAATTTGGTAACTGCATTAACGTATGGTCACGTAATCATAAGATGAAGAGAAGTTGTAAGTTTGGTAATTGGATTCTCTTTTTGTCGTTCGCGACGACTCATTTGCTAGGGCAAATGTTTTCAGAAAAGTTTGTAAAGCATCTCACGTCAAACTTAAAAGCGATGAAGAGCGCCGAAGTTCCCAGCAACTACAGCTCATATATACTGAGCCGTGGGCGCTCTGTCAAGCGCGCGAGGAAAAGAAGACCAGTTTCTGAACTAAACCAAACTTGAAAAACAACTCACGTCAAACTTAGAAGCGATAAACAGCGCCGACGCTCCTAACAACTGCAGCTTCTCCTTGCTCAGCTGTGGGCGCTGCGAGGAGCGAGCTAGGACTGTTCCTATCCTAGGTCAACGACCTTCATCGAGCTAGGAATAGGTCAACCAGCTTGACCGCCAGGTAAACAATTTGAAAACCAACTCACGTCAAACTTAGAAGCGATGAACAGCGCCGACGCTCCTAACAACTGCAGCTCCTCTTTGCTGAGCTGTGGGCGCTGCGGGCGCTGCGAGGATCTCGCCAGGAACAGGTCAACCAGCTTGACGGCCAGGTACAGCGTCTCGTGGTTCAGCTCGAAGCTCTCCTGCACCTCCACCATCCAGTCCACGAGAAGAGCTCGCATCCAGGACGTGATGCCGTTCATCCGCTGCAGGTAGTCGTCGATGGGGAATAGCCGCTACGAGAAAAAATTACTCTTATTATTTTTAAGTGTGTGAACACCACGTGTAAACAAAACAGAGACAGACGTAAAGTTTGTCAACAACCCATACAAACAAGCAGTCCTGGATCTGTCAATAGGCCGTATAGGCCGCAGCCTAGGGGCGGCAGATTTCAGATTTCGATTTCAGAAGATAAAAGTTAAATAAAGATCCAACCCCACTCTAGCCTACGGGCGGCAAAACTGTAAATCCGCCACTGCAAACAAGTATCAATACACTAGCTTTCCGCCCGCGGCTTCGCCCGCGTGGAATTTTGTCTGTCACAGAAAAACTTTATCGCGCGCGTCCCTGTTTCAAAAACCGGGATAAAAACTATCCTATGTTCTTTCCCGGGACTCAAACTATCTCTATGCCAAATTTCATCAAAATCGGTTGCGAGGTTTAAGCGGGAAAGCGTAACAGACAGACAGACAGACAGACAGACAGACAGACAGACAGACAGACAGAGTTACTTTCGCATTTATAATATTAGTTGGGATTTTAGATGAACTAGATTTACTGGTAGATATTTTGTGAAGTAACTCAATATAAATAACACTACCAAGCCGCCTCGACTTTGCATGGGTGGTATTTATTATACACATAAACCTACCACATACATCTATTGCTGAAAAGTGCATTAAAATCTAGGCGTACAGACAGCGCGAGCGACTTCATTTTATACTACGATCAGAATAGGTTACTTTTAGCCTAGGCGCGGACCACCGACTATTAGTCGGGCCCGATTTTAATTTGTATTAAGAATCGGCCGATACCAAATCGGTGTAATTTGCACACTTCCATGCCCATACTGATTAACTGCCCGACTAAACTATCGGCCAACTATATAAAAGTCGGTGGTCGGCGCCTAGGCTTATCCTAGAAATACACAATTTGCATTGAGCGATTGGCGAGTGTTTATCGACGAAATTCACGTGAGAAAAGGTAAATCGTAAATTTAAATATTTGCTAAGCATGTGCCAACCGTGGGTCCCACCCTTCGGCAAATTTTCGCACGCCCTGTTGACTAGGGCGGCGAGAATGCGTCCTTTGTCATCCCATCTGTCTGACAGCTTCTTAGCCACTTCATTTTACAGTCTTTTGTTACAATTTTACAGGGGGACATGCGTCAGTTACGCCAAACTTGTACCAAAATAAAGAATAACTTTTTTTATCCCAATGTCAAGGTATTATGGTGTATTCAAAAATTCCTGATTGAAAAATCAGTTAGGATGCAAGGATGAAATAAAGATCAGGCAGCAACAGAAGTAGCAGCTGGTAAAGGTCAAGTTTCCCAAATAGTTCAGTAAAACTTACAAGTTGAATATTCTATACCCAGAAAATTATACACTCTGATTAATAGGTAATTAATAAAATCTACACCATTCGATACATTTCCTTATTTGCATTATCAATAAAATTATCATACAGAAAACTGTAATTGACACTAGTGTTGTTATCATAATATTTCAATGTAAAAAAAATGTAGCACTATAACCATAAGGATGTACACATAAACAAACAATAGATAACATGGACAAACATAAGGAAATAGCAAGTACTTACCTCTCTACTTTTTAAATAGTTGAATATGTCCATGGCGTAGTGTGAAACCTGGAAGGGATCATTCCAGTTTTCCTGGTCGAAGTCTACCACATCGCTGGGGGCCTTGTGTGGGGTCTCTGTTTCTACGTCCAGGGATCTGTTGATGGTGTCATCCAGGTTCACCTTGTCTAGTTGTTCGCTAATGGTTTTGTATTCTTCTTTTGTAGAATCAGAAGGGCTGCTGAAAGATAAGGTCTTACATGAGGTATCTTGGTAACTTGAAATGTGATTGAAGTAACTAAAGTTTATGTTTATTAACTTTAAAGATATTACTTGATAATATTATTAGTAGAGTGTGGTATTAAAATTACTCAAGTGTGGTATTAAATGATAAAGTACCATGTCTAATGTAAATAATAACATACACATGATATTACGTCACATGACCTACATAAACTGATAGTTAAATATCTTACTCTAAATTCTGATAGCAATAATGATAAAAATAAAAAATTTAGGTACATAACAATAATTGTGACTTGATAAGTTATTTGTTTAAATTCTAAAAAGGTTAAGATAACTGAAAGCTACTGACATATTTTCCAATGCAGTTGTGTATAGAGAGCGCTCCCCAGAGACGTCACTTTTCGCCGACTTCACGGACGTCTGGCTGTGATTCTGGTTTTCCTTTCCCACTGGTTTTCTGTCAATATCCACTAGTTTTCTGTCAATATTCTTGAGGATTCCGTTCTGAGCCCGAGTTGAGATTGGTTTGGCTGTGTCCTTAGTGAAATGTTTCTGGACAGACTCCAAGGCATTTGTAGCTACCCTCTGCAGGGTCTTGCTTTTGGATATTTTGCCATTGAGTATGGTTTGTGGCTTGACGCTCTAAAATAAATTATAAAATATAGGTAAGTAATGTGTTTTCAAAGATTTTTAATGAATATTATTTAGGAATCAGGATGAAAGATTATTACAAATCTGTTGCTAGGAATTGTCAAGATTCAGAAGTAAAGGAAACATGGAATCTATTATATTACTGGTTATTCAAGATAAAAATAAAAACATTTGAAGGGAAAGTTCATTGACCTCTTCATTATGACACTAACTGTAAAAATATAATGTAACATAGATTTTGCATCACAGGAAGAAATGCAAAGAAGCCAAGCTCAATCCAAAATTGAACTGTGCTTTGATGCATTTTTTTATTATGTTACCCACGTTATAAAAGTTGCATGCAAATGAAGGTTATTAACCTTGAGTGTTGGGAGCATCTTGGTCTCCACTGTGACTTTTTTTGCCGCCAAAATCTTGTCTTTGTCATTGTTAGCACAGGATTTGTTGATAGCATTCGTGATGTCTCCAAATGCCGCCCTTTTTGCAGTCATGTCTTTTAGCGGACTATCCGCTTTTCTTTTATTCGGGACTTTCAAGCCATCTTTATGGCTTTTCAGAGAAGCCAACTGCTTACTCCTCGTCGTTATCCCATGGGTCAAAATGCCATTCAAGTTCTCATTGACGCCGATCGGCTTTGTAGCCAACCTTGTTGGCGCCATTACGTAGGAGGTACTGAAACAATTATCAATAATCACGTGCACTGGTCAAACGTGTTACTTTTCGCACTAATAAATTAAACACATACACGAAACGCTTGTACAAAACGTAAACAACTATTTCAAAATCGTCACTTCTAACGACCAAAAATGGAGGCAAAACAAGCGAACGTTGACTGAGCGTCAAACGCTGTTCTAATGATGAATTTTTTTTACTCACAGTTCTAGACGGCGGCCGCCGTTTTGTAGATATTTATTCACTCTATTTCTAAAGTTGCACAGCCCGATAAATTAATTGCAAAGAGTAATTTTTGTTGAATTATTTTTAGATAATCACTCGACACCGGACAGACGAACGTTTACAGAAAACCGTTGAAGATTATGCTTTGAATTTCTATTGGCTGCGGATTCAACCAATCACGAGGATCGCTCAGTTCCGTTTCGATTCACGACTGTAGCGTTTTCGTAACTTTATGGAAAGGAATATTTTTAGATGTTTACAAGACTAATTTAAATTAAATAAATTAAGTTTGTTATTATTTTATAGCGAGTAAATTTATGATCCAACGTATTTAGCGAAAAACGTATGTTCATTTCAAAATTAATTAGGAATAATATCTACTTACATGAAACGGAAAACTGAAACGGTATAATTATTTTCCGTTTTACTTATCAACAACATTACAACGGAATAATAATTTTATAATAGAATTTACAATTTGAATAGTAATTAAAATCAAGAAACTTTATTTGAAAAAAATAATAATTATAATAAATATTTTTTTTTGTATGTCCAATAGAGGCTAATAAATTTTAATTCCTATTTTAGACTGTATAAAAGTATTACTTATGTGAAACGAATCGCATAAGTCAAGTCAGAAAATGTCAACTGATGTCAACATGACAAAATTGTACAAAATTGCAGTAAAAAAGCAAAACAATAAGATAATTATTTTTCGTTTAACCTAAATCATACTGATAATTAAAGTACTTAAGTCGCAATAACTCATTGGTCTCAAGTGCAGAATTGTGTGTTTATTACAATGTTAGGAGGTGCGAAACTGAAAGTCGTTTACACTCACGAAAAGACTTGCTTTGCTTATATTAGTCCAAAGTACAGCACAAATAATGAAAAGGTAAAGTTAAACATTACTATTTTATATCATGATTTTTTTTATAACTACGTATGAGTACACCTTAAATAGCCGACCAAAGGACTAGCTAATGAAGTGAGGTTATTGATAACAATATTAACAATACTTGTTGTTCTTTTTTCAGTCGCAATGTGTACAAGTCCTGTTGAGAGATAAGCACGTACTGCTGTGGGTGGTGTATAGCAGCAGCGTGACGGAAGGCCATATAGCATGTAACCCCATCTTCAGTAGGCTGGTGGGTTTGGAAGAGGGGTGGGAAGTCTTTGTCTCCCCCTATGGCGATGTTAAAGTGTTGGATGAGCTGTACATAGACACTGATAGTCCTGATGACCAGGAAATATTGGTAAAAGCTCTATATTTGTGATAAAAATATTCCCTTCTTATTGTTGAAATAAAAACATAACTTTGTTTTATGACTAATAATATATCAGTACTGATTGATTACTTATCACAACATAAATTATTTCATGTACTTATTACTTTTTCAAGATATAAATGAAATGAGTCATCTAATTTATCTTTTTCTTTACAGGAACACAATGTAGAGCTTTTACAGTTAAGGATCTTAGATCAATTAAGGCTAGTTGTATCAAATCAAAAGGCTGTTGTTTGGATATCTACATCTTTACCGATAGTGTTTACACCCAAACAAACCGGCCTGCTGGTCACGAACAGTAGGATTGTAGTCAAAGTAGATGCCTTCAACACGTTCCATGCTCCGCCGCCAACTACCTCTAATGTGCCTAAATTAGAAGACTCTAAACTCAAAAATATAGGTATTATAAACAAGGGAATTCTACAGCCATATTTATACACTTTAGACAGGCTAGTACTACGAGCTTTGCCCATTGATAGTGATGGCAAAAAGAATTTGATACACCCATACATTGTTTTCATTCATGAAGACTTATTAGGTGAAAAGTACAAGCATTCCACTGTAGTGCTAGCAACAATGCAGAATATCCCATCAATTTTACAAGAAAACAATGATAATGAGAATAATAACAATAAAATGAATGACCTGTGTGTTGAGATAGTGCCCGTGGACAGTGTGGTATTTAAAAGCCTATGCCATGAGGATTACAATAGTAATATACATACAGTGCTTATACCAAAAGCTTTGAATGCCATAATCAATATAGAGAATGGAACTAGGATTATATTTACGATAATAGGTGATAAAGTTGAGCAGCCTGAGCATATAGATATAGTAACTTATTCAGACATGACACAAACTGAAAGTGAGGTCATAGAAAAATTCAAGAATTGTGTCATAGAGAATACACATTCTGGTAAAAAGTTCCTTATAAATGATGGGGTGGTAAAACAAAACATACAGATAAGTAAAGGCTTCCTGCAATTTAAACTCAAACCTGAAAAATTAAGATACACATTGTTGAACACTGAGTCATTTAGACACTGCACTGTAGCCGCAAAATGCTTGACTGATTGTGATTTAGATATTCCTAAGACACCCATGTCTAATTTGGAGTATGATTACAAGAACTACTGTAGAACAATGAAGTCTATGGAGAGTCTAGTCCAGAAAATTGTTTCACATGCATACTTTGAAATACATAGAGAGGCCACATTCAAAAATGTTTCTGAGATAAAAAGCAACATTTTACTGACTGGTGAGTCAACTGATTATATGTTACTTAATATTATTACGAGATCTTGTGCTGTTGTAAGATAAACCAAATGTGTATTTTTTGCAGTTACAAGAGGGTATAGTGTAAAATCATCATTTGTAACACACTCAAAGTGTGTTCTTTGTTGTAATTTAATTAACATTTTCATGTTTTTCTAGGTTTGAGTGGCACAGGAAAGTCAGCAATCTGCCACATAGTGCAAAAAGAGCTGACTCTATGGACGCGTGTGGTCCAGTGCCGCTCATTGAAAGGCCGCAAGGACATTCCTGAAGCTTTGAGCGCGGCAGTCCTATCGTGCCGCGAGAGACGGCCTGCTGTGCTGGTGTGTGATGACGTAGATGCTCTGCTGCCGGCCAATACTGAAGGCGCGTCGCCGCAGGACATAGCTTACTACCAAAGGTGAGGCTGATGATTAACTAAAGTAAAAATACAAGGTCGCAAGGACATTCGCGAGGCTCTGAGCGCGGCTGTGCTATATTGTCGCGAGAGAAGACCAGCTGTGCTGGTGTGTGATGACGTAGACGCTATGCTGCCGGCTAACCCTGAAGGTGCTTCGCTGCAGGACATAGCTTACTACCAAAGGTGAGCTGGTGATTAACTGAAGTTAATAAAATAAGGTCGCAAGGACATTCCCGAGACTCTAAGCGTGGCTGTGTTGTCGTGCCGCGAGAGACGACCTGCTGTGCTGGTGTGTGATGACGTAGATGATCTGCTGCCGGCCAATACTGAAGGCGCCTCGCCGCAGGACATAGCTTACTACCAAAGGTGAGGCTGATGATTAACTAAAGTTAAAATAAGGCTGCAAAGACATTCCCGAAGCATTGAGCGCGGCCGTTCTATCGTGTCGCGAGAGAAGACCTGCTGTGCTGGTGTGTGATGACGTAGATGATCTGCTGCCGGCCAATACTGAAGGCGCCTCGCCGCAGGACATAGCTTACTACCAAAGGTGAGGCTGATGATTAACTAAAGTTAAAATAAGGCTGCAAAGACATTCCCGAAGCATTGAGCGCGGCCGTTCTATCGTGTCGCGAGAGAAGACCTGCTGTGCTGGTGTGTGATGACGTAGATGATCTGCTGCCGGCCAATACTGAAGGCGCCTCGCCGCAGGACATAGCTTACTACCAAAGGTGAGGCTGATGATTAACTAAAGTTAAAATAAGGCTGCAAAGACATTCCCGAAGCATTGAGCGCGGCCGTTCTATCGTGTCGCGAGAGAAGACCTGCTGTGCTGGTGTGTGATGACGTAGATGATCTGCTGCCGGCCAATACTGAAGGCGCCTCGCCGCAGGACATAGCTTACTACCAAAGGTGAGGCTGATGATTAACTAAAGTTAAAATAAGGCTGCAAAGACATTCCCGAAGCATTGAGCGCGGCCGTTCTATCGTGTCGCGAGAGAAGACCTGCTGTGCTGGTGTGTGATGACGTAGATGATCTGCTGCCGGCCAATACTGAAGGCGCCTCGCCGCAGGACATAGCTTACTACCAAAGGTGAGGCTGATGATTAATTAAAGTTAATAAAATAAGGTCGCAAGGACATTCCCGAGGCTTTAAGCGTAGCTGTGTTGTCGTGCCGAGAGAGTCGACTTGCTGTGCTGGTGTGTGATGACGTAGATGCTCTGCTGCCGGCCAATACTGAAGGCGCCTCGCTGCAGGACATAGCTTATTACCAAAGGTAAGGGTTGCTGGGTACTTACCCAGTACAAGTGTACAAGTTTATAAGATAAGAATTTAAGTAAGACTTTAATTCTTATCTTATAAACTTGTACAATGTACATTACCCATTTTGTAAATTTCCTTAGGTTTTAAGGTGTATGATCTTGCTGTGTCGAAATCACTATAGTATAAAACAAATTCACTTTCCACTGTCTGTCCCTATCCCTAGGCATGCTTTGATCTTTAAAACTACGCAACGGATTTTGATGCGGTTTTTTGTTTTAGATAAAACCTAGGTAGGTCGCTAGTAATTGCCAGATAGCTTCAGTCTCATAATGCCTTTGAAATAATGCCGCGACCAACCAGGCCATGATTTCGCTGCATCAGGGCGGCCCTGGCATAGATAATTTTTGTGCTTATTGAAAGTGAAATTCTTTATTCCAATGTCCAATCTAAGTTGATCACAATTGATTTTATAACCTACCTTTTTACTTTGTCGCAGACTAGCCGTAGTACTAAAGCAGCTGCTCCAGACGTGTTCTGGCGTTTGCGTGCTGATGACGGCTCAGAGCGTGAAGGCGCTTCATCCTACATTGAGGCAGTTCAGCGGGAAGCCGCTCTTCACTGCGCACTTCGATATACCGGAGCTGGAACAGGTTAGGGTTCAAATAATAATAATAATTTTTATTTCAATATAAACCTTTTACAAAATCTTTGACAATAGAATCACCCTTTAGGCATAAGGTGTAGCCTGTGTTAGGTGATACCGCTCTTCCCTAGACAAATATAATGTAGTTAGGTATTTTGTATAGAAGTGTGTGTATGTATGTACATATTATTATGTGTGTGTGTGTGTGTGTGTGTGTGTGTGTGTGTGTGTGTGTGTGTGTGTGTGTGCGTGTGTGCGTGAAGGATGTAAGTATGAATGTGAGTGTGTAATGGGTATATGTGTGTTTGTATGATGTGTAATGTGTATGACGACGATGACGGCTCAGAGCGTGAAGGCGCTGCACCCCACCTTGAGGCAGTTCAGCGGGAAGCCGCTCTTCACGGCGCACTTCGATATACCGGAGCTGGAACAGGTTAGGGTTCAAATACACATTTACTGTATTTTTATTTTATTTATTTAATAGGACAACCATCAAGACATACACTAGAAGATAATCAATATTTACAACGTATATAACTTAATCTAAGTGCTGCCTTAATTATAGGTTGCCACGGCATGCAATAGTGGCCTTATACAAAAACAGAAAATAAATAAAAGTAGAAATAACTTACAGACCTTAGGGCCTATGCACACCATATTTTTAGGCGCAGTCGACCCGCGTTTAAAATCATAGGTATGCTGATCCGCTTAATTAGCTTGCTTTACTGCATAATTACATTCACCAACATTTACTAGCATTTGAATGACTTAAACTTAAAATATGTGTAATTTTTATTGATAATTTAGTAGGACGCTTATGCCCGTTTTCACCATCAATCCCTAATTTTTAAGTGACCCCTATGGTAACACATAACAGGCATTTTGTTTTCATATGGGTCGCTTAAAAATTAGGGATTAATGGTGAAAACGGGCATTAGTCACGTCGTTAATACGTCAGACTTAATCTAAAGCCATCACCAAAATTATAAAAAAATGCCATTGCTGATGACATTGTATTTTTTCTACCTTATTCTTGGGTATTTCATTTACATTAAAGTTAAAGTAATAATGTTAGACAGTTTATCGATTGATAGCTAATGCTTACTTAATGATAATCATAGCTTGTCAAACAAGTGACTGTGAAATCCCTTACAATGATAAACAAAAGATAAATAAAATCATGCTATTGCATTTGGTATTGTTATATTTTTTTTGTATTCACAGGAAGAAAGAACAGAACTATTCAAGCACCTCCTCAACGAGAAAATCCGCGAGGAGTTCTCTGTAGAAGACGATGACGTCATCAAACTGGCCATGGACACGGCCGGGAGTAACGTCAGAGACATCACAGACTACCTCAACAAGAAAATATTTAAGGCTGTGAAGAAAAAGAGTAAGTTTATTTATGACAACATTCAGTTGTTATGTTTATTTCATTCATCACTCACTTCAGAATTCTAGAATTTAATTTTCTTTTTCATATTATGAGTTTTATTTAAATTCGAGCTTTTAGCATTGTGTGTCTTACTCAATTTATGCTTTTCACATTATGGGACGAGACAATCATCATTTGAGTATTTTTAAATTATCCTACTAATATTTTATAAATGCGAAAGTTTGGATGCCTAATTGTTTGTAACTCTTTTCGTAGAAACTACTGAACGGATTTTGATGAAACTTTACAGTATTATTGTTTGTAACCCAGATTAACATAATACAGGCTATAATTTATGACGATCTGTGGCAAACGAAATTTCACGCGGGTGAAGCCGCGGGCAAATTTATAATAAGGTCACAATGAATTTCACTGTGGACCTAAAATTAGTCAAATCAAATGTAGGTAAATAAGTTATTTTTTTTTCTAGAAGCAAGCCCCGAAACTAAGCCGCGTTTAGTGGAAGACGTGACGAAAGATGTAGAAAAGAAAAGCGCGTTCGACATCTGGGAGCCGGTCGGAGGCCTCGATGACGTCAAACGGGAACTCACCGAGTGCATCTTCTGGCCTATGATGGTGAGGACTATGAAAATAAAATGTTTTATTCAGTGACAAACATAACTTTTTTAAAAAATAAAACCGACTTCAAATGCGTGAACACAAAAAAAACTCAAAATTTAAAATATTGCGTATAAAAAAGTTCATCCCCAATTTTCCACCCTTGGGGGTGAAATATTTTCTTCAAATTCGCATGAAACCACCCTTTTGATAATACCTATTCAACAAAAAAATAATCATTCAAATTGATTTATAATCGGCGGAGATATTGCGTATAAAAAATTTCATCCCCAATTTTCCACCCTTGGGGGTTGTTTTTTCTATTATTGAATTTAAATGGGACCACCCTTGAGGACCATCTATACGCCGAAAAAAGATTTGTTCAAATCGGTTCATAATTGGCGGAGTTATCGCGTAACAAACATAGAAAAAAAACATACGGGTCGAATTGAGAACCTCCTCCTTTTTTGAAGTCGGTTGAAAACAAGTCTTCTTTCCGCAAGGCTGGTTTAAAATGTATCTACCCAGGGAGATGCGTCATGTGGAGGTATAATCGCTTTCTCTTTGATAGAAACTACGATGAATCGCTATCGAAGTCATGGCGATTGCAATACTAATTTTAGCTCTGAATTTTGGTAATCTTGCTGATTTATCTTGATGTGTTTGTAACTTAGTTCAGACTTTTACGATTATTAAAGTTTAGTAACCTAAAGCTGTAAAGTGACATTTATCACAAGCATCTGTGTTTTGGAAGGTACGTGATGCCAGTCAATCCTTGCTATTGACTGGCATTGAGAAACAAAGTATTCAAGACACTTATCAGGCTGGAAAAAATCATTTAAAGTTGTTGAAAATAAGAAAGAGTTGTTATTATTTATTCCGCCCAGTACCCGGCGCTCTTCCCGCCTCAATCATGCGTGATCCTAAGGCCTCAGCCTCGAGTTTAGCGGGCAGCGGGGCGGGAGCGGCGGCGGCGCGGGAGCGGGGCGGGCAACGCAGACCCGTTCTCGAAACAAGCGGGCACGGCGCGGCGCTTTAGCGGCGAAGTGTTGTGTTCGGGGTTGTGTTGTCGAGATATTTGTTTTTATTCGCAAACGAAATGTCTGAACAACGGCGACAATTTTATTTAGATTCAAATTTATTCCTAACGCTCGATTTATTGTGGGCAAAAGAAGGAGTGCGCTGCCCGCTCGTTGCCCGCTCCCGCGCCGCTGCCCGCTCGTTGCCCGCTGCTGCGCCGCTGTTTTCGAGGACCGGTCTATTTGATTTTACGCATAAGATCCTGCCGCTCCCGCGCCGCCGCCGCTCCCGCCCCGCTGCCCTCTAAACTCGAGGCTAAGGCCTTACGGGCAAGTCAGATCAGCTCACGAGCCGGACACGTCCGGCACTCGTCTTCTGTTTGTCTACTAGACTCGATGTTAATGATCCAATCTATTTCTTCCAGTACCCGGCGCTCTTCCCGTCTCAGTCCTGCGGGATCTTACTATACGGGCCGCCGGGCACGGGCAAGTCTCACATCGGCTCGTGTCCGGCACGCTTGCCTTCTGTTCTTTTACTTTCTAATTCGCAGTAATCTTTTGTTTTTTCCGTTAGTACCCGGCGCTCTTCCCGTCTCAGTCCTGTGGGATCCTGCTATACGGGCCGCCGGGCACGGGCAAGTCTCACATCGGCTCGTGCCTGGCGCGCGTAGCCAACATGAGCCTGGTAGCAGTGAAGGGCCCCGAACTGCTGTCCAAGTACATCGGCCAGAGCGAGAAGGCTGTCAGGGATATATTTGACAAGTAAGCACTTACCGAGCACTTATGTACCATCCTAGACAGCATCTCACTTAACATCAGGGGCGATTGCGGTCAAATACCTGCCTTGTTCGTATAAAACAAAGCATTTTTCCATCCAGCAGCTTCTGCTGAAGAGCTTTCGCATGACGTAATTCGGCCAAATGGCTGCAGGGCGTTCTACTGCTGCTTCAACTTACTTATTCGGTGTGCTATATCGATGACGTTATCGGAAAATAATCAAACTGCAGTGATGTTAAAGAAAATAGTCCTGGCCACTACGGTACACAAGCATTTACGTTTAGTGCAGACACCGCCATATAAAATTGTACTTTTGTGAAATAAATACTTTTTTTTGTAATCCAAATCTATTGTTTACAGAGCTGACATGAAGAGGCCGTGCATCTTGTTCTTTGATGAGTTTGACAGTCTCGCACCAAAGTAAGTACCCAAATTGTATAGCAGTGAATAGTGTCTGAATAAATCATGAAATGAAATGGTTTAGGTTGCGTTATTGTCTCCGTTATGGTGTGTGAAAGTGAATCATCATCATCATCATTTCAGCCATGGGACGTCCACTGCTGAACATAGGCCTCCTCCAAAGACTTCCACATCGCATGGTTCCTGCTACCTTTATCAGGTCGTCGGTGAAATTGAACGCACTAACATTATTGTATGGCCTCAGACGCGGGCACGACTCCACCGGCGTGACGGATCGAGTAGTCAACCAGCTGTTAGCGCGCCTGGACGGAGCCGAGGGCGGAGCCCGGGGCCCCGTGCTCGCCGCCACCTCGCGCNGCACAGCTGGGCCGCTTGGAGACGCAGTTGGTAAGACGTCAGTATAGTAGATGATACAGTAGGGTAGCCATGTAGTACTGAGGACGCTGGTCAAGAGCGTGACGGTGTCTGATGACGTGGACCTGCAGTACATAGCCTCCCGGAACGAGGGCTACTCGCCAGCCGACCTCAAGTCTCTGCTCGTCACGGCTCAGCTAGGTCGGCTGGAGACGCAGCTGGTAAGACGTCTGTATTGTAGATGATACAGCAAGGTCGCTATGAAGTACTGAGGACGCTGGTCAAGAGCGTGACGGTGTCTGATGACGTGGACCTGCAGGACATAGCTTCCCGGACCGAGGGTTATTCCCCTGCCGACCTCAAATCCCTGCTCGTCACCGCGCAACTAGGCCGCTTGGAGACGCAGCTGGTAAGACGTCTGTATAGTAGATGATACAGAAGGGTAGCCATGTAGTACTGAGGACGCTGGTCAAGAACGTAACGGTGTCTGATGACGTGGACCTGCAGGACATAGCCTCCAGGACCGAGGGCTACTCGCCTGCCGACCTCAAGTCTCTGCTCGTCACGGCACAGCTGGGCCGCTTGGAGACGCAGCTGGTAAGACGTCTGTGTAGTAGATGATACAGCTTCTTCTTCTTCCTCGCTACACTCTTGCCAGAGTGGTCGTGGTCGTCACACCAGGTCCGGTGGCACGCCTCACAATCTGTCGCCATTCCTGCCGCACTGCAGGTGTTACAGCAAGGTCGCTATAAAGTCCTGATGACGCCTGTCAAGAGCGTGACGGTGTCTGATGACGTGTACTTGCAGGACATAGCCTCCCGGACCGAGGGCTACTCNCGCGCCGGCCGCCTGCAGCGACACGTGTACTGCGCGCTGCCGGCCCAGGTGACGTCACACCCGCGCCACGACCGCCGGCCTGCGAAAGTTAATAAAATACGTTCACCTTCGGATCAATTTGCCCTTACAGATCGACTGCCAAGGTTACGGCTCAGGTGTTCTGCAAACGAAATGGAATGGACATAACGAGCATGGTCATTATAACCTAAGACTCGTGTTAACGGCTACGTCGTGCCCTCGCCCCCGTTAAAATATTTAAAAAAATGTTTAGTACTTAGAACAAGCCTAGCCCTGGCACCTCAAAACAAGGAGAGCCGACCCCAAATAATGGGAAAAACGTCTATTTAAAATGTACTAATATGTGATCATACCTCAACAGCAAGGTCGCTATGAAGTCCTGAGGACGCTGGTCAAGAGCGTGACGGTGTCTGATGACGTGGACCTGCAGGACATAGCCTCCCGGACCGAGGGCTACTCGCCCGCCGACCTCAAGTCTCTGCTCGTCACGGCGCAGCTAGGCCGCTTGGAGACGCAGCTGGTAAGACGTCTGTATAGTAGATGATACAGTAGGGTAGCCATGTAGTACTGAGGACGCTGGTCAAGAGCGTGACGGTGTCTGATGACGTGGACCTGCAGGACATAGCCTCCCGGACCGAGGGCTACTCACCCGCCGACCTCAAGTCTCTGCTCGTCACGGCTCAGCTAGGTCGGCTGGAGACGCAGCTGGTAAGACGTCTGTATTGTAGATGATACAGTAGGGTAGCCATGTAGTACTAAGGACGCTGGTCAAGAGCGTGACGGTGTCTGATGACGTGGACCTGCAGGACATAGCTTCCCGGACCGAGGGTTATTCCCCTGCCGACCTCAAATCCCTGCTCGTCACCGCGCAACTAGGCCGCTTAGAGACGCAGCTGGTAAGACGTCTGTTATGGATGATACAGCAGGGTAGCCATGTTCTGAGGACGCTGGTCAAGAGCGTGACGGTGTCTGATGACGTGGACCTGCAGGACGTAGCCTCGCGGACCGAGGGCTACTCGCCCGCCGACCTCAAGTCTCTGCTCGTCACGGCACAGCTGGGCCGCTTGGAGACGCAGCTGGTAAGGAGTTAGTTTGTTTCAGCCAAATGACGTCTACTTTTGGGCAAAAGTCCTCCCCCAGGGATTTCCATAACCACCGGCCTTGCGACCATCACTAAATCGTCGGTTACCTAGTAAGAGGCCTGTTCTCACTACGACTCCCGGCCCGTGGTCGTCACTCGAGAATCTCTGCTCCAATGGCTATCAGCTGTACGAGCTATGTGCCCCGCCCACTGCCACTTGAATAGGGATGTTTCCTGGGTAAAAAAGCAAGAGTTTTAATTAGTCCGTCAGTTAAATTATCAAAAACTACTCGACACGTATTTTTCACTTTTTAAAACTAATGAAAATGTAAAGAGATAAACTGTGACTTTTCCATAGAAAAGGCCCGTGACGTCAGTGAGTGCGTAAAAGTGTAGCACTTTGTGACGTCGCGTGGAACTTCAACGCACCAACTTTGTAATTATTTGTTTGATTGACAATTAAAAATATACGTGTCCAATATTTTATTATATTAAAATTGACGGACTAAAAATTTTTTTTTAGGAAACTAGCCTATTGGGCAATTTGCGGGCTATGTCGGTTACTTTGGTTTACTGCGGATCTCTTCATTCCCGATTTGTTCACACAGGAAACTCCGAGCGTAACCTTTAACCCAGGCCTAGAACGTAATTAGTTTTAAATTCACTGTAAAATCTGATTTTAAGTAGAATTTAATTTTAAACAAATAAATAAACAAATAGTAAAAAAGTCACGTCATAGCTTCTCTTTATAGATGACCTACACTGAACTGTCCCACCAAACTCATTGACAGAGGGGCGCCACCATCGTTCAACTATATGACTGTAGTCTCCAACATGGCAAAAATCGGAACCAGCGGTCCGGTATTGACGTTGGCGCCCCCCTGTCAATGTCACGGGTGGCACAGTTCAGTGTGTAGTTCCAAAATACTGAACTGTCCTATCCATGACATTGACAGTGGGGCGCCACCGTCAATACCAGATCGCTGGTTCCAATTTTTGCCATGTTGAAAACCATAAAGATGAACGATGGTAGCGCCCCCCTGTCATTGAGTTTGGTGGGACAGTTCAGCGTGGGTCATCTATATTGGGTATACCATGCGAAATCTGTCGCATCTAGACATCTCATTCATGTCAAACTGTCAAGTATTCTAATCAAATGGTTCTCCCCATAGGTGAGCAGCGAAGACCGCAGCATGTCGTCTGTGGTGGTGCAGCGTGAGGACATTGAGGCGGCGCTGCAAGAGACCAAGCCCTCGCTGTCCCAGGAACAGAGACTGTTTTACGATATGATGTGAGTATTTTTTCTAGATATAAATCTTAAGGCTGATTTACACGTGTTGAGTAGATAAGTAGGTAACTAAATTATTAACTTAATTTTAAGTGATTAAAAGGGGAGACCAACGCCAAGCTTGGCTCTACACAGGGTTCGAAAATATCAAGATAATTACGCTTCATGATAATTATCGGATAATTATCAGATAATTATCGGATAAATATCAGATAATTATCGGATAATTATCAACAGTATAAGATACATTTGTCATCTTGTTTCATAAGAAATTCTGATTGCGAATGTTGCTTTATGTTTTTGGTTGCTAATTGTTGTCAAGTTATCCATCGCTAGTCGCATAAATATTTTGACGCTAGATCATTGTAAAGCTAAATAGATAGGTTTTATAACTATTTATGTTAATTAACGCCCTCCACTAGACGGAAGTGCGGAAATACACATTCGAAAACTTCGAATACAGTTCATTTTCACGAGAGCATTTTTATTATTATCAACCGATAACTATCCACCTGTTATTATCACGATAATTATCATGATAATTATCCTTTCAAACCCTGGCTCTACATGAGATCTCATAACTTTTTCACAGTGCGAGTCATATGGTTTTGTCTTGGCAACATTTTACTATTTACGTGAAATTAAGGTCTTGGGTCATATAAAGAAACCTTGTTTTTTTTCCACAGATACAAAAGATTTAGAGGAGAGAACCTGTCGCCAGAGCAGAGAGCCATGGCCATGCAGATGCAGAAACAAAGGGTCACCTTAGCTTAAAATGTATTTCTTATTGGCACAATGTTTATTGGAATATAATTTGCTCATGCGTAAAATACTGCTGAAGGGTATATTTTCTTAGTCGGACAAAGGAATATGTGTTATAAGATATGAGAGAAAACAGTTCAATATAATATTTGTCACTAAATTAACATTTTTAGAGCACTACACAATACAGTTGAGTCGTCGGTAAACAGCGAGCAGAAAGGAGCAGATAATTAATATGTTATGCTTGTTTTTAGACGCAAGCAAAAACTTAGGGTAGCTTTATCAATGCTGTGATTTAATTGTTAATATTTATAAGAGAAAAGTCATATTTTATACTAAATACAACATTACATAAAAAATGAATAACTGCAATTTATTGGAAAGGTGTAATTTATGAGTTTCATACAAACTTCATTCACTTTTATAAAAGCTAATACAGTAGTTTTTATAAGTCAAATTATAGCCGAAGCCATTTTTAAATAAAATAAGACTGCAATTGATATTCACATATACGTAATTGCATTGATTTTATTATAAAGTACATTAAAATCATTTTACTACGAACAAAAACAAATCAAAATAAAAAAATAAAACAAAATCTTTATTTAAGCAAGACAGATTTACAAAAAACGGCTTATTCCACTATTCCCCGTCAACGGGGAATAGTGGAATAAGCCCAAAGTATAACTACTAAATATACTGTTAAAGAAGTATTTTAATTATTTTGTTATGTGTAAGTGGTGCTTGAAATTTGATAATCATTATTTAATGAAATAGTTGTTATGGGAGTAATTTTATTATAGCTATTTGTTTGTATATTTTGTTGCTATTTTTATATTTAAATGTGATTTTATTTTACGTTAATAAAAAGATTTGGGATACATTCAGATTTTCATTTCATAAAGTAAACGTCAGTGATTCCTTCGCATTATTAGAGATTTATAAATGAAGTTGATTTATTTCATGCTTCACGAGATTTGTTTCTTGGCTACGTAGATGACGTAGATTTAGGTTTCGTGATATTGGCATCATTATTACATCTTGTTAACAAGCAAATAATTTGTAATGTGACTTGTTTCCTGACAAATACTGCAAACTTGAACAGGCCTTATCAAAGCGCACTAACATTAGTCAAACACCGAGCGATGATCGCGATACCCCGAGCCAATCTCCTGCGCCGCGCGGAGAGCAATAATTACCGCGATAAAAGTTTGCTCATCAGAAACGTCAGGCGCTCGCTGTTAGATGGCTTTAGCGGGCGGAGTTTGGAGATGCTATCGTGTTTGTTCAAATAGATAATAGTCAGTATTCGCGGCTTATTTAATAAGGCACTTAATTTAAAGCTTAATTAATTTAGGCTTTAATAAGGTTTACTTACCTCACCTTACAAGTAATTTAAGTGTCAACTGTTACCGTTTCTGAAAAATCCTACTGAAACGGGAAACGCATTATCATCGACCGATCTCGACCTAGACGCGTTAAAATTTTGTTTCAAATATTTCTTTTAAACAAGTAATAAGCTAAATACAAGCTACCTACCTATCTATCTACGTACAGTGCATATTCCATTCCATAAACCGGCTTGTAACTAAATTAACGTGCCAACTAATTTCGCGAGTGTTTAAGTTGATAATTAGGGGCGTCTTAGAGCTGTTTATTTAGACTAAGTTGTCAGATAAGCTTGTTTTATTGAAAAACTTCCGCGGCGTGATTAAGGTTAGTTCACAAGTTGCACAATAATTCAGATTGAGCGGTGCTCGCGAGGCGCTTGCGATTTCGCGGTACAAAGATAAGACACGCTGGATGTGCTAAACACAGAACATATAAACGTTTCATGTTCTGTGATGCCACAAGTGCCAAAGGCTCATCATTGCCATTGCCAAAGCAAAGTGACATCATGCCATGGATGATGGATTTGGACAGCTTGATGGATTTTGTCTCAATTTAGAGAGCGATACTGAGTTAACATAAACGCGTGCGTATTCCACGCATTACAAAAAATAAGTAGGTAAGTACTTGTATGAAAATGACACTTGCAGGTGTCATGAATGCATCCGGCGTTCGTAATGAAATTCGCACGATACTAAAAACACCATGAGTCGGATTTTGTAGAACGATCATCACATCCAGAAGCACTACATCCGCGGTCTGCGTCTTGCAAAGTTCGGCGCTGGTAATAGCAGTAATAGCTTAACACGCGGTAACGAGTCGTTAACAAATCAGCCGCCTCACCCTATTAGTAGCTGGCGTGTTATGTAAACGATACGAAACGATAGACTGAAGATATTAATTAAACAGACGATGGTTTAATGTTATTAATTAAATCGAAAGGCTCAAAGAGTTTGTTAAGCTATGCTACGAAAGTTTTCATTTCCCTGCTTAACGTGACGTTAATAATACCTATAGGCACAGAATACATAATAATTATAGTCTAAAGGTCCTATAAGTTAGGTACCTACCTGAACCTGCCTATCATTTCTACCTACCATCAGGGAACGAAGATTAAAGAAACAAAGCTTCTGAATGAAAAAAACTAATATCGTTAGGTATGTAATCTAACAAAATCATGAAGGTTTATTTTTAGTTCACTAACTAAGTAGGTAGTAGATTTCGATTTTTTTATCCTTTTCTTTCACTTGTAGAACGTTGTCCAAAATCGAATTGTATCAGCGCATTAGGTATGTGTTCAACTTGCAGGTTCAAATTAGGCGAAAATGAGTCATCCATTCATGACCGAAGGCTTTCAAAAGCTTCTTGCTTTATTTATTAAAGGTTGGAAAGAAAACTTGGACCAACTCGACGGACGCATTCGCAGTTATTTCGCTGTGAAATTTGCTCTCTAAATGAACTGTATTGAGAGTTTAAGTAGCAATTTGAATTTCACAACCGAGTTTATAACTGTAAAATGGCTGTCCTAAGTTATTTTTCAATGCTGAGGACCGTGATCATTATGTGAAATAACATCCAAAATATCATACTGAAGTATTTTTCACTTCATTAACTTCATTTAAGGGTCAGAAGTTTAGTATCAATATCAAAGTTGCTATAGTCTGCATATAAGCGACTTTGGTAATGATTATGTAATTAAATAAGTAAGAATGTACTTAAAAATCGGCTGAATGAATTAGATTCTCGAGCCTTTCAACAAAAAAAAAGCCATAGTTGTTCATTTTTGTTCTCATTTTGGTGAATAAATGAATAAAGGTAGGTGTAATATTTTTATTTATTCGTGAATAAAATTAAAATTACAAAAGATTTTAACAACAACAGGTACTAAGGCAAAACTTTGCAAGCATTTTTTTAAATTATTTGAATATGGAATTTTTACTTTGATTTTATTGAATGTTGAAACGAAACGCTACTTTGGAACGTCAGTCAAAAAAAATTGGAAGTGACATCTATGTGTCATTGACCTCAGTTTTGTTTGTTGTGCGTGCGATGTGCGCAGTGTCCGAGTCCGCGGTTCTATTTGATCTTTATCCGATGAAGATCTGCTATGTATTTACTTGATATTGGCAGTGCAAGATGCATCATCAATTATTATTATGTCCAATCAAATTGTTATTTGTGTTAATTACACTTGAGGTAAGTTGCCTACTAAATGTGAAACGTATTTTTAGTTCCGTGCATTCATTTCTTACAATAGGTACATCTTTAGCTATTATTACGTATATTTTGGATTTCTTAATTTTTATCTCTGTGTGGTTTGATGTGGTCATCTCTTTCTAGGTGTTTTTTTGGCTGCGTTTGTGAGTGCTGATGGCTTCAAGAAGGGATGGCCAGACCAGCCGCTGTTCTAAGTGGTAAGTACCTACGTATTTGGCTTTTGTATTTTTGTTTTGCACTCAATATTGATGATAGCATCTTAACCTTTTGATTATCTTATTTTTTTACCTAAAATAGGTTAAACGCTTTTATTACGTATCTTTCTAAATTAAACGCTTCACCTGACTCCTTAATTTATGATGCTGATTTCTACAGTTAAAGTTTTAAAAGTGATCTAATAAGTTCGTTCGTTATTGTGTGAAATGGCACAGGTGCATGCGCGAAAGATGATCTAAATAGGACCAAATACGTAAACATAAAATATATTTCAGTTAGTTTCGCCGTGGATCGCCCATACTTTGATGTGCGCGTTCACGCTTTTGTTCGATCAATTTTTTTTTTATAAATATCCTTGGACATTTTACACTTTCCCCATAGTGTATATTGCGCCATAACAAGAAACTAGAGACGCGATATTGAATCATCGTAGCCTCGTAGCAACGTTCGTACTACGAAAGTCGTAGCGAGATGGCAAAATACTACGATGATGATCTTAGGTTGGCGGTGTTTTCTTCCCTTTATTTAACATGCTTTTGAGTGCCTATTTTGGTGCTAGTATTGCGAAATTATCAAGCGTACCTAATAATTCCAACAAAAACTTCGTAGGTACGTACTTACATCGTCTAAGATTGACTTTAAAGTTTATACCTACTAGTTTTCCGCCCGCAGCTTCGCTCGCGCGGAATTTTGTCTGTCACAGAAAAACTTTATCGCGCGCGTCCCTGTTTCAAAAACCAGGATAAAAACTATCCTATGTCCTTTCCCGGGACTTAAACGCCAAATTTCATCAAAATCGGTTCAGTGGTTGAGGCGTGAAAGCAAGATAGACAGACAGACAGACAGAGTAACTTTCGCATTTATAATATTAGTATAGAAGTATACATAGTATAGATACAGGCCTTACCAACCCAATTTTCCGATATATCTGGTTAAATGATGTCAAATGCGTATGCGACTCATAAAGTTTGACTACAAGGTTGTGTGTCAGATCCAACACGATATAATAAAATCATCAGAGGGTAGCCCCAACCTTACCAGTCAAAAAGTAAATGACGATCAAGCCCCATAATGAGGCGTAATAAGACAAAAAAGGACCTTTTGTGAGGAGCGCGAAAGTGGAATAAGTCATGGGCCGAATTAGGCGCCTTGTCCGCGCGAGAAAGCGTTTTTATCCGGCGTAAAGTAATTATTGTGTTTTTGTGAAAGAGTTTGTTAGCGGCCATTCAGAGGGAGGACACGGACGCCTTCCCGGCGCAGGGACGGACTTGGGGCGTTCTTTTCAAAATAGGTAGATGTCCACAGTTAGGTATTTTCGTTAGTTTGTTCGTTTCAGCCTAATGACGTCCACTGCTGGACAAATGCCTCCCCTAAGGATTTTCATAACGCCCGTTAATTAATTTTATTTAAAATCATATCTAAGAATTATTAGGCTTTCTACTGTGTTAAAAACTATTGTTCAATAAGGGGCATAGGTACCTACATTGCAGTGCTCTCATTTCCATAGGTGCACGAGGTATTTACCTCTTTAATATCTTAATTTAGGCATGCATGCTTGCGGAACATTGTACAGACCAATAGCTTTAAGATTTATCGCCAAAATAGTTTTTGGTAAAATGATGTAAGAGAACCAATTCAAATTGTGAAAAAAGCGTAAATCGTGTAATAACAATATGGCTCTTTTATTCAGAAACCATTTTCTTACGAGCACCTGCGTCCAGACCTGTCCGCGCCCGGAATATTCTTGTTTTCCCGGAGTTTTCCCATCTTTTCTCGGCGTTTTCTTTCGTTTGCGCCTTAATTAGGTCATTCAGAGCTCCTCCCCCCTCGCCCTCCACCCGAAATTATCTTGTTTATTGAAAGCACTTTTATATTTCATTTTTAAAACTCCAATGGAGTATTTAGTGAGCATTTAACGTTCTCTGGACCCTTTTTGTGAGAATAAGGAGTTTTATTAGCTGGGGTGGTAGTTCATCGCCCTTGCTGTTATGTTTTGACATAGAATTACGTGCGAAGAAGCATTTGGTGGTGGGACCTCTTTGATTTAACTCAAACGTTT